AGAAAAAGTTGATGTTGCAGTGCTTGGTTGTGGGCTTTCAAGTGTTTTTCCCGATCTCTGGCGTGCCTGTAATGGGTTTCGGTAGATAAGCTAGAGGGGAAGATTTTCGTGTTTATGTGTTTTAATGTGATTATTGAAACCAGCAAACCAGCGCTGGTTTGCTGGTTTTCCGAAATTGTGCCTGCTGGTTTGCTGGTTTTTATTTTTCGCTGGTTTTGAGCAACCCTACATTACATCAGACTCGTGATTTTTGAAAGCCAAGATATTTAATACCAAATGCGACTTTTAAGATCACGCCTTGAATATTCTAAACCTCAATTTTGAACAGGATGAAAGATTTGGAATAAAATTTTATTTTTCTGTTTCTTCTTTCATTTGATGATGATTGTTAGATAGTTTTAAGATTAAATTAACATACTTAGCTTTCAAAGAATGTTTGATATCAGCTGGTTTGTTAAATTATACATTAAAGAATTGATAGTAATTGTCACTGAGTTTGCCATAATTGTACTGATGTAAATGTCAAGCTCAAATATGATTATAATGTTATCAAATAAAAGAAAATGTTACAATTTAATGGAAATTTTACAGAACCATCTTAAAACTTACATACATCTAATCATGTATCTCCAAATTGAAGTAAAAATCTCATGATGCAAATGATTATGATACTGATGAGGTCTCTATCAATTTCTTTCTCGACGTTTTGAATTCAGAGAGAATCATAAAAGCCAAACATGAGATATCTTTGCGTATGAGGAAGAAGATAAGTTTAGTCTCTCAAAAGCTCTTTCTTCAAAACATCTTTTGGCGGTATAAATATGGGAAATGACCATTTTTCTGTTTTAGTCGGTTGGAATTGGTTGAAAAGTTGAAAACGAACGCTTTGATCGGATATTCAGAACAAAAAATTTTCCCTTTGTGTTATTTTAATTTGTTTGATGTGATTTCTGTTTCCATTAAAAATGGTAAGAAATTGAAGAAGCTTTTAAGAATCTTTAGATATTTAATTGATAAAACATCAAAAAAAAGTTCCTATTAAAATGTAATAATGATGTAAAGTTTAAAAAGAAGAAAGAAATTGTTGAGTAATATGACGCAATTTGATAAATCTCGAGAAGAAAAAAAAGATTATCAAAAAAAATCATTTTGAAGGCTTGACGAAAACAAAGTTTATGCAAATGCATTTAATGTGACGAAATATTTGAAAAAAAGAAAGAAGAAAAAACATTAATCTGTAAAGTTCGAAGTTGGAAACTGGAAACTGGCTTTTTTGAAATAAATTTCACATAAAAAATCTATCAATTTAAAAGGAATACATCTAGTGATTTTGATAAACACAGTTCCAAAGTGAGCACAAGAAATAAAAAAAAAAGAAATATTGTTTTAAGGCACCGAAATAAAATATAACAAAGTTAAACGTAATTCGAGAGTGACATTATTGAGTTTAATTTATGCTTTACATTGAAAATAACGTCTTAATAAGCATATCTATTCAACAAAACAAAAAAAAAGCAAAAGCTGAAAAAATCATGATCAATATCAACTTGTGTTTAAATTTAAAACTCTGTTGTGGAAAATTACAAAACTAAAAGAAAATATTTTTCGTCAAGGAATTTCTTTGACGAATTGAAATAAAAAAATATAAATTGTAATGCTACAAAATATGTTTTTCAAATCTTTTCAGAAATCATTAACAATTATACTAGTTACCGTTCAAATATTAGTGTTATGTAAAGCTGATATTTCGCTGTCATCAGCTGGAAATAACTTCGAAGGATACTCATATCCGAAGCCTAAAATTCCTTTTGAAACTGGATTTCAAAAGAAAGTTGAGGCTGAAACACCGAAACCTACATATTTACCTCCAACAGTGCCCACTCCAAAGTAAGTTTGAAATTATTAGAACATAATTTTATAGAATATATAATCAAACAACTGTGATTAAAACTCGTACGATTAAACAAGATACGGAAATTTTCACAAGGAATTTAAGATCAAAACTCGAATTATACTTTGAAATAGATTTAAAACTTCTTTGTTTTTTTTTTAAATTGGAACCGGAATAAATGATACTGAATAATATATCCAGATGACAAGCAAAGCTATATTAAATTCAAATGATGAATTTTAAATGAATTTACGAAGTTAGCAAAAATATTTAAGCTCGTTTAAGAATGCAAAAGCTTTTGTTAGATTGATGACATTTTTAATTTTTTAATGTTTCTGAAAACAGTAATTTGTATTTAAAATTTTAAGTAATTATTCAATCAATATTAATGAATTTTTCGTGACTGTTCCCAAACTCTCTCCATCTTTCATTGATATTCATTCGTCTACTTCAAAAAACTTATGATTAATTTGCATCCACACACTGATAATCAAACTGGTTTCATTGTTCTCTTTTGAGACAATGCGAATAAAAATTATTAAAGTTTTTAATAATCACTGAAAATTTAATTTATTTTATTTAGATAATTGAGAATTATGCAGTAAAATAATAAAAACATGTCTTCATAACGTTAATTTTGCTTAAAACTTTTATTTTAATATCTCATTTGAAAAGTGAAATTAATCACAAAATGGTGATAATCATTGCAATAAGAGTTAATTTGGGATAATCGGAAGAAAGTTTAAGACTGATTATTCATCAAGACTGAGATTTTAAGAATGAAAAAAATATTTTAAACCAAAGCTTAAAACTAAAACAAAATTTATTTAATTTTTTTCATTTATGTAAGGGGCATATTTATTTTTAGGGGATTAATAATTTATGGATATTCAACACACGTAGATATTCAAAAATTTTCAATGTTTTGTTCTCTGAATTCTAGAACGAAAGTAAAGAAGGATTTTTTTTTTAATATTTGCTAAATTTATACAGCTGACATTTGATAAAACAAATTTAAAGGAACCAAAAAGAACCAACGATAAGAACACAGAATTATTTAAAAACCTGAAAAGATCATTAGAAATCTTTTTCACATTTTTTTCACAAATTTGTTTTAAACTAAATTTTATTGTGAATTTTTTTTGCTATAAAATGCAAATTTTAATAACGAATGCTTTAAATAATTTAATCCATAACTGAACATCAACTTATGAAATACTCAAACGTTTTGGGTCTCGTGATGAAAAATTACAAAAATATAAAAATCGAGATGCGAATGTATTTGATATAGCTACTTATATCATGAAAAAATATAATATTTTCCATAATCATTTATTTTAGACAAGATTTAAAATTCAGTCACCTTGATTTTTATTTGCTATAATTTGAAATATAATATGATCCATTTTAAATTTTCCTTACCATTTTGTTAAGATGAATTAGGAAGATCTTAAATTGAATAAGGAATTTATTCTATTTATATAATTATTTTCCATAGTATAATTGAAACCATAATATTAATTCTTTATATACATATAAGCTCTCACTAAATAATTTCTAATTGAACGAGAATTATGCTGAAGTCATGTTTAAGTCATCTTTTAGTCATTATTGACTATTCGGAAAGTATTCAATAAGTTTGAATATTAAAGATTGGAGCTCATTGTAATGTCTGACTATGCTTTAAATATATTTAATGACTATTATTTAGAGAATTAGCTGCATATTAATTAAACTACATTTATATTTCTGATCATTTCACTACGCTTATCTAACTATTGTCAATATTAACTGGTTACTACAAAAAATGCTATATGGAAGTTTCTAGCTAAACAAATCTACCTTAATGAGAACATTGATTTTTCGCACGAATTTATGGTGATAAACATTTTATCATAAAATATTCTTTTTTCATTGAAATTTATTTTCATTAGATAAATTGGAATTTTAGAATAATTTTGATCCAAATTGGACCTTAAATATATACCTATGTAAAGAATGATATAATATACATAATATAAATTGAAATTATGCCCTCTATAAAGCTTTAAAAAAGAACATGAAATTGATGAATACAATAAGAAAAAAAATAATTCTAAAACAAATATGCTATTACAAACAGGCCGACTTACTTGCCTCCAGTAGTCAAAAAAGTTGAACCAATAACGACAAAGGCTACAACCACCAGAGCGACAACACCGAAGCCTACAACAAGACCACCAGCACCTGTTGTCAAGAAAGCTGATGTGAAAGAGGGTTATAATTATCCAGCTCCACCTGCAGCTAAGCAACTCACACTTCCTCCTAAGTAAGCTAACGAATCGTTTTGACTGTTTAGATTCCTGTCTTCATACTGCTATGCTAATTTTTTGTGTAGACCTAAACCAACTCCAGTGGTTACAAAGAAAAGTGCCCCCATAACCCCTCCACCGCCAACATATTTGCCACCAACTACGCCACCACCCACATACTTGCCTCCAGTAGTCAAAAAAATTGAACCAATAACAACAAAGGCTACAACCACCAGAGCGACAACACCGAAGCCTACAACAAGAGCCACGACAACAAGACCACCAGCACCTGTTGTCAAGAAAGCCGATGTGAAAGAGGGTTATGATTATCCAGCTCCACCTGCAGCTAAACAACTCACACTTCCTCCAAAGTAAGCTAACGAATAATTTTTATTGTACAAATTTCTGTCTTTATACTGCTATGCCAAATTTTTGTGTAGACCTAAACCAACTCCAGTGGTTACAAAGAAAAGTGCCCCAATAACCACTCCACCACCCACTTACTTGCCTCCAGTAGTCAAAAAAGTTGAACCAATAACGACAAGGGCTACAACCACCAGAGCGACAACACCTAAGCCTACAACAAGAGCCACGACAACAAGACCTCCAGCACCTGTTGTCAAGAAAGCCGATGTGAAAGAGGGTTATGATTATCCAGCTCCACCTGCAGCTAAACAACTCACACTTCCTCCAAAGTAAGCTAACTAATAATTTTGACTGCATAGATTTCTGTCTTCATACTGCTATGCTAATTTTTTGTGTAGACCTAAACCAACTCCAGTGGTTACAAAGAAAAGTGCCCCTATAACCACTCCACCTCCCACATACTTACCTCCAGTAGTCAAAAAAGTTGAACCAATAACGACAAGGGCTACAACCACCAGAGCGACAACACCTAAGCCTACAACAAGAGCCACGACAACAAGACCTCCAGCACCTGTTGTCAAGAAAGCTGAAGTGAAAGAGGGTTATGATTATCCAGCCCCACCTGCAGCTAAACAACTCACACTTCCTCCAAAGTAAGCAAACGAATCATTTTGACTGTACAAATTTCTGTCTTCATACTGTTATACCTTTTTTTACGTAGACCTAAACCAACTCCAGTGGTTACAAAGAAAAGTGCCCCCATAACCACTCCACCACCAACATATTTGCCACCAACTACGCCACCACCCACTTACTTGCCTCCAGTTGTCAAAAAAGTTGAACCAATAACGACAAAAGCTACAACCACCAGAGCGACAACACCTAAGCCTACAACAAGAGCCACGACAACAAGACCTCCAGCACCTGTTGTCAAGAAAGCTGAAGTGAAAGAGGGTTATGATTATCCAGCCCCCCCTGCAGCTAAACAACTCACACTTCCTCCAAAGTAAGTTATCAAATCAAATTGACTGTACATATTTCTGTCTTCATACTGCTATACCTTTTTTTACGTAGACCTAAACCAACTCCAGTGGTTACAAAGAAAAGTGCCCCTATAACCACTCCACCTCCCACATACTTACCTCCAGTTGTCAAAAAAGTTGAACCAATAACGACAAGGGCTACAACCACCAGAGCGACAACACCTAAGCCTACAACAAGAGCCACGACAACAAGACCTCCAGCACCTGTTGTCAAGAAAGCTGAAGTGAAAGAGGGTTATGATTATCCAGNAAGTGCCCCCATAACCACTCCACCACCAACATATTTACCACCAACTACGCCACCACCCACTTACTTGCCTCCAGTTGTCAAAAAAGTTGAACCAATAACGACAAAAGCTACAACCATCAGAGCGACAACACCTAAGCCTACAACAAGAGCCACGACAACAAGACCACCAGCACCTGTTGTCAAGAAAGCCGATGTGAAAGAGGGTTATGATTATCCAGCCCCCCCTGCAGCTAAACAACTCACACTTCCTCCAAAGTAAGCTAACGAATCATTTTGATTGTATAGATTTCTGTCTTCATACTGTTTTACTTTTTTTTAATTAGACCTAAACCCACTCCAGTGGTTACAAAGAAAAGTGCCCCCATAACCACTCCACCACCAACATATTTGCCACCAACCACTCCACCACCCACTTACTTACCTCCAGTTGTTAAAAAGATAGAAACACCTAAGTAATAATTTTTTATCTTTTCTTTTAAAATTTTTTGAATCAATATTCAAATTTATTTCTTCTTTGATTTTTAGACCGACTACAAGACCTCCCACAACAAAACCGCCCGTGATAGTCGCAAAGAAAGACGATGAGGGTTATAAATATCCAAAACCATCAATACCTTTCTTCTATTAGTTTTGATAAAACAGATTTTTTTGTGTTTTCGCCATTCTGTAAAGTTGTATGATAATACGAGATAACTAACATTAAACAAACTTGTTTATAATTACTGCCAGATGTTCATATTACTTTGACTTTGTCTATCTCATTCTAACAAATATTGGAAGAAGTATGAAACGATTCAGTTTCTTTATTTGTAATAATTGTCTTTTCAGTGCATAAAAATTAACGTACAAATCAGTCAAAATGAAAAAGAAATCTTAGAATTTATTTATACTAGAGCAAGTATTATTCAAATATGGCTGGAGAACTCAAGCATTATCAACTTTTTGTGCCTTGTATTCGCAGTAAGATCGCAACACATAAGGAAATAAAAGATATCCATTTCTGTAATATGTGTCTCGATCGCTTATAATAAACTCCAGCCCATATGAACACTCTAGAATCATTTTCTTTTACTGCAACCACATAAATATTTAGTTTATTAAATCCTTGAAATTTTAAATATAAAAAAAATTATTAATAAAAATTGAAATTGAGAACCAATGAAACATCTTCAATTTTTTTTTCTTTTGTAGACTCTTCTAAATCAAACTATCTAACAGAATAATCTTTTCCTCTAGATGGCTTATTACCTATCAAATTTCAATAATATTTTCTATGAAAAATAATTATCTAGGTGTCATTCTTGTGTCTCTCACGGGCCTGAACATTATTTCAACTTGTAATGTTTAATACGTTAACGAATGTTTAATAAGGTATCAGGTTATTTAAAGCCCCACTTAAGTTTTGATTCTAGCCGATTTAATCTGTTTGAGAGTACTGAGTAGATTTGAGCCTTAAATTTGTATAAAAATAGATCAAATTGTCAAATTCTGTATCAAAGCTTTTGAAGACTTCAGATTGAAAACTTCGGCAAATAAGCAAAACAATTTTACAATTTATCATGATGAAAGTAAGTTGATAAAACATAATTTGACATAAAACTTTTAAAAATTGATTATACAATTTTTAATATTCTTTTAATAGTTCACAGTTGGATTGTTGGCTCTCTTTGCCGTCAGCGTTCATAGCTCTGCTATCCTTCCTTATGCTGCTTGGCCACAAGCTGCTTCATATGCTGCTGTTCCATATGCTGCTTCTTGGCAACATGCACCAATCACCCAATACTCTTCATACCCAGCAGTTTCCGCTTACGCTCATGCTGCCCCAATCTCTTATGCCGCACATGTTGAAGCACCAGCCGTTTATGCAAAAACTGTCGCCGCTCCATCATTCTATGCTGCACCAGTAGCTTATGCCGCACCAGCAGCTTATGCTGCACCAGCTGTAGTCCCAGTCGCTAAAATCGGCGCTTCATACACAGCCGCCAACCGTGGATCAGTCCATACTGCCCCATTACCAGGACATGATGTCTCACAAACTAGCCTCAACTTGGCCCCAGCACCAGGAACATGGTAAATAAAGAAATGAATTTGTCTCGCAAATTGTAATGTGATTAAAATCTGATATTTAAAATAAAAAGTGTATTCGATGAAAAATTTGTCTTGTTTTTATTATAAAAATTCCTTGTCTTATGAAATTTAGAGAATCGAATGTTATGAAATGTGCAAACAAATTTCGCTATTAAAAAAATTGTGAAAACCAGGTTGGAATTTCATTTTTTTAAGCTTACACGGATTAATTTCAGACAGCAGTATGCAAATCGATTTTTAGCTATATTAATTCTACAGTTAATGTAAATGATGATATATGGTGAAAAAATACTTTGAATATTTAGCTGCTGTTAATTGTCAATCAAAAAGTTTTATGAAACAACTTCGAAAATTATCGTCTAATATTATTGCATGTTTGATGTCAGCAATTAATTAAATAATGATAGCATTTGAGATTTACTGAATATAATTGAATGTTTTTTTTTGTTTAGGTATTAAGAATTTTTTTTTAACAATTTTACTTACATATATCTAAGCTTTTGATATTCATTTTCATTTATTTGAAAATGAAGATGAAAGTTCCTTCAAAGCAGATCAAATTGATCAAGGATTTTATAATTCATAAAGTTCTGTACAAAATTGAGTACCTATATAAAAAATTGAAATTATGATCATAACTAATATTGAACAATTAGAACATGTGGAGCTTTATAAAGTTCCATTATGTATATCTTACGAAAAAACATGTTCATACTCATTGACTTATTTATGCGTTTCTTTTATATGTGGTTTCAAAATATTATTATTCAGATATGGTTTCATTTTCTATACTTTTAAAAGTTTACTTACCATTTTTTGTGAAGACATTGCAGACATTGAATTCAGCCATAAAGCTGCTATTTTTTTCTGCTATCTAAATATTTAATATGTATTTATTGAACAAATGAAATCCATTGTATTCTTCATTGATCATATTATTGAAATATTTAAAAAGTCCATTAAATATGTTTTTTAAAACTTGATAATTTATTCATTACATTTCCATTGTTCTAACATCTCATAGATTTGGCAAGTGACTATTAAGTTCGATTTACCATGTTCCTGGTGCTGGGGCCAAGTTAAGGCTAGTTTGTGAAACTGCATGTCCTGGTAATGGAGCAGTATGGACTGATCCACGGTTGGCGGCTGTGTATGAAGCGCTGATTTTAGCGACTGGGTGGGCATATGGGGCAGCATATGGAGCAGCGTATGGAGCGATGATTTTAGCTACTGGAGCGGCAAAATGGGCTGCGTATGAGATTGGGGCAGCATGAGCGTAGGCATGAGAGTAGGCTGGGGATGAAGAGTATTGGGTGATTGGTGCATGTGCCCTACCTCGTCGCATACCTGCGATGATTTTAGCTACTGGAGCGGCAACATGGGCTGCGTATGAGATTGGGGCAGCATGAGCGTAGGCATGAGAGTAGGCTGGGTATGAAGAGTATTGGGTGATTGGTGCATGTGCCCATGGAGCAGCGTATGGAGCAGCAGCATAAGCTGAGTATTGCCAAGCACCATATGGGTAGACAGCGGAACTTTGAGCGCAAACTGCGAAGAGAGCCAACAAACCAGCAACTGCGAACTATTAAAAATAAAAGTTTAAATTTATTTTGTTTATTATTAAACAACAATTTAAGATGACAAGTAGAAAAAGCATTAACAACTCACTTTCATTTTGATATGTTTTTTGATTTGATTTGCTTTAATGCAGAAGTTTTCAATTGTAAGTCTCGATTAACTTTGATACTGGAAGAGATATTTTGGTCCATTTTATACAGATCAGAATTCTTACGATTGAACGTAGAAAATTGTGTCCAGTATAAAATTCCAACAATTTAAAGTGGGGCAACATGAAAATAAAGTTGTGGAAATAGTGTAGATATCTAATTATTACATGCTTTAGTTTATTATTGTTGAACACCTCAGTTTTAAGAGTATGCATATACTCGAGATATTTACATTAAGGCTAACAATTCAATTTCATGGTTTTTTTCTGGTAATTGTGAATAAGTTACAGACTGAGTGGGAAATATCTTTCATGAAAAAAGATCTACTCAGAATTATGAATGGAATTTGTCTCTTTTTTATTGCTATCAAAATTTAAAAAGAATTCGTTTAAGAATTCTTGGTATCAATTTATTCATTCAATTAAATAAAAAGTAGACAAGATGTGACGAAATTGGATGTTTCATAATGAATCTTCATGAAATTTATTTATAAATGTTCAAAGAATTTTATTGGTTGGTAAGTACTTGAAATTGTTTTTATAATTTTCGGTATTGCAGAAATTTCTCAAACTTTCAGTCTGATTTGAGATCTTTTTTGAAGATAACAATGATCTTGATAAAATTGTTTTACAACTTTTTTAAAGTTCAACTTTTCTTATATCTCAGATCGTAATATTTATATTGTTCATTAATCTATTTCAGAAATTTGCATTTTGTGGTTGTTAAAATATCTGATTCCTTTAATTTCCTGAGTTCAAATTAATGATTTATTCAAATAATAAGATTAATTTACATAAGTTCATTCGTCTGTCGAACGTGTCTAAAATAAAATATTTAATTAACAAGATATTTCACAAAGCAATTAAACATATATACAAATATTGTTAGAATTTGAATATTTAATTTGTACAAGTCAAAGACCTGCCAGAAATTTCTCAATATTATAAATATGAAGAAACTCCGAAAGCCTCAAGCAATTAAGATGATTTTCTGGAAATCACAACATGAATAATAAAGATGATTTTGATAATAACATCATAAATTTTTGCATACATTCAGAAGCTTAAACTAAAGTATTTATGATAACCTTCCGTAATAAAATTCTTTAGCAACCGGTTTTAAAGTATTGCCAGAAACAGCTGTTTGAAGGAGAAAGAAATGTGAACAAACCATAACGAAATACCTGAACTTCACAATGAACGTGGCAGTGGCGTTTGCGTGATTAATTGAGCAGTTTTATTGCTGCACCGTATTCTAACTTCATACTTAGGGACAACATACGTAGAAACCCAAACAAGTTACACGCGTTACTAAATTAACAACTCCACGCCTTTGATGTAAATTAGAAGTAGCATTCTTGCAATTGTAACTCGTAACAGGTAAAAAACCAAATTAATATTATTGTTTTCCTTCAATTGAAGCTTAAGTGATTTTCCACCTATTTCATGATCATATTTAGACTTGTGCATTCATAAATATTTTTTTTACATGTTCAACTTCTGATTTACACAACACGTAATCTTAACAGGTTGATACGAGTCTAAATATAGAGTTGCTTGTCCAAAAGATTTTTTAATTAATAAACAATCATAAAAAAATTCTAATCAAACTTTAATGTTTTGTTGCCGCAAAAAATTCTTATGAGATAAAGAAAACAAGAATTCGCTTTAAAATAATTTGTAGATATTTTTCTTTATTTTTGATTCTTTTTCCATGAATATTTTATGGTACAACGAACACAAAATTCCACTATTGCACACTATTGATAGTAAATTGAACAACACAAAAATGTCGCTTAAAATTTTTTTTTGTTTATGAAAATGACATTTTCTTTTAGAAGTTTCTAATTAGGCATTGACTAAAGGCACAACGTCAAGGTATTTCGATCATTTCAATGTCAAAATTCATTTCAATAATATTATGACATGTTTATCGCATGAAAGTTGTTCTTCCAACTGGCGAGCACCACAAGCAGTTTTCATACATATTTCATCTAAATGAGTAAAGAAGGAAAAGATTATTTGATTGAATATAGTTTTGATCTGATATTTAATCATTATTAAAGTCAAACTTAACATAATCTATCAAAAAGCAATCAATACTAATTAACTAAAATCGAAATCCTTACCCAAGGTTTTCAATCCAGTAAATGCATTTCTGGTTATTTTAACATTATCGACGCTTTGCTTTTTGTTTGAAATCGGAATGCAGAATGAATTATTTGTTATACTTGTTTTCAGATCTTCATAGCCTACGAATAAGTTTTTGGAAACAGCGACAGGATATTTGTAAATCGGCCTAATCAACTGTTCGATGAGTCCAAATAAAACTGTTTTTCGTTCATCGATGTTATGTTTGGCAGGATTGAAGCGGACACATAATTCACCCAAAGTTGCGCCATGTGTCATTGAGGCAAAAAGAAGTAAAATATCGCGAATTTTAGCTTTTTTTATCTCGGACTTTGAACATCTTTCAATGGCACGTTTTTGAACTTCCGGCGATTTGGCTAATATATTTAATTTCGGAGTTGGACGATAAATATTTGAATATTGAAAAACTGGAACTAAAATAGCAACACCAAGGAGAATCAAGTGTCTCACGCACTGAACGACGATTGTTACTGAAACATCCGCAGACATTGCAATTTTATCGATGTGACGAAACCCGTTAATGTATGGAACAATCTAATTGGCAAATGTTAGTACAATATTTTATTGAATTAATTTTTATAAGTATATTTACTCTTCTTGTAGTAAGATCCCACTCAAATTTATAATCTTCATAAAAGCAGTCTAACAAAACTGGAGCTTTGTGTGCGAATTCTGTGTTTTCAATTTGGTCACAATCGCCGTAGTACGGAACAATGCATAATGGTAAAATTGAGGCACCGTCTTTAAGCATGCAATGACGTTTAAGATTGATTTGAATTCGTATTTCGTCAAGCATATTTTCCAATCTCCTTGCTTTTGAATCATCGAGTTGTGACAAGAACTTTGAAGAAAGCTCCAATGATAGCTTTTGATGAATGTGTATGTATGAGTAGTAAACAAAGTTTAATGACTCGAGTTATCACATTAAATTCATATCTCACCAAATATTCAGCACACTTTCTGATAATAGGCTCGTGGCCAAAGGTTCTCGACATTGGATCAAATACGAAGCAAAGGTTGAAGTAAAATGCATTTCGGACATATGATTTGTTATCAATTCTTATTGGAAAGCCAAGAATCTTGAGATTATTTAAAGAAATGCTGATGAAACATCGTTGAAGTTGTACTTTAGGAATCACATAATTTGATATTTTGTCTGTGTGAAAATAAACAATTTTTCTATTTAGAATCGTCAAAAGCTAATTATAGTAAAACATTATTTACCAAAATCTTCTTTTGTGATAAAGTTTTTGGGACTCTTAAAACAAATGAGTGAAAGAAAAGAAATGTTTTAAAATACACAAATTTCCGTGTTTAAATTTAAATAAACTTTATCAACCTGGTCTATAATTTTCGTGCCGACAGTTGAATGAAACTAATCGTGAGAATAAAGAAAATAAATATTAATCATCTCAAACACATTCCTGATTGTTGACCTGATTACCTCGCACAAAAATATACATTTGATTTCAGCGTCATCATTATTCGTCATTTTCTTTATCATCAGGAGAATTAATTTAAAATAATTTAGGTGAAGATATTAAAAACCACTTCACAGTTTTTTAGTGGCTGAAAATATTTTTTTAAAGTTGCTTAAGGTCAAACAGCAAACTTGTTGCTGGAAATTCGCAACTTTTACTTTTATTATCCTCTGCTGTTTTGTCACGAGTTTAATTTATAAACACTGAGCTAAATTTACGTATATAAATTAAAATTCAATATTTTTTCAATAGAATTTATTGGACGAACTCGAACAAAACATAAACAAAACTTTATTTTGACTGTGACAAGGTTTCAGTTGCTGAAAACTTCTGCACTTTCAGATAAGCAAGATGAGATGTTTCCTAAAACACTATTGAAGTGCTCGAACATGTCGGGATGTCGTAATCGTCATGTAAAATCTTGCATGCGAAGCGCTTTTCAAAGACAAGTCTTTTACATATTTTAACAACTTCATTTCTTTGTTTTTCAGTGTCATTTAAAACACAAACTTGTAATATTCCGTAGAAGTTGTTTTATTTCTCTTCAAGCATTATAAAATGGAAAAATTAAGCATTGTATGTTTACTCTTCATAAGTTTTTCTATGTTGGGATCAGCAGATGGTAAATTAAATCACATAAATGTTAAATTATTCAAATTAACTCAATTTCATTCTGCATGTCTTCCTAAAGTCGGAAAATGGATTGTTAGCAATCAAGAGAAGAACATCACCTGTTTAGTTGTGCAAATGGACATTAAAGTGAACTTTACCTACACAATTTCAGGTAAAAACATTATAAATCGATTTTTTTTTCGTAAATTTATTTCTTACCTACTACGCATCGAACTTAAATTTTTTTTTTATATTTATGACTCATAAAAGCCACTGATAACTAATCTTCTGTTTTTATCACAGATAATTCAACCAAAAATGTTTTATACACAATCCCTGTTAATGAAACTGCAGTTGATATGACTGGTAGTAAGTGCGGTGAAAAAGACACTTTAAAGGTTTCATGGAAGGAAGGCAATGACTTCGAGATGACATTCAGTTCGAATGGTTCATTATATGATTTGTCATTGTTTGTTGTCAATTTGAACACATCAAGTTTGTTTAATGATTCATTGGGTGAGCCATCTTAACGATGCTACTTTGGGACGACAAATGTTTTAATTCTTATCTCATTATTATAGCAAATCAGACTGTGTCTGTAAACTATGAGAATGAATCATTCGGCATCCCGACCAATCATTCTTATCACTGTAACCGTGAACAAATGTTTAATGCTACTAATGGATATCTGATCGTGGCAAAAGTTCAATTTGAAGCTTTTAAGATGGACAACACTCAACTTTTCTCAAGAGCTAAAGATTGTGATTCGAACATCACACCGGATATTGTTCCAATTGCTGTTGGTTTGTCTCTCGTCGCCTTGATTGTTATTGTTTTGATCGCATACATTGTTGGTCGTCGTCGTCAACAAGCCCGTGGCTATTTGAATATTATGTAAACGAAAGAATTGATCATTAATCTCTTATAGGTCTCCTTTTTAAAGCAGATTGATGATCAAGCTAAAATCCTAAGAGAGGAGGGTTAATATTAGTATATGATCTTGCTCACTACATTTACTTCATTTCATTTCTCTATTAAAAAATCAAATATCTACATATTCTAATTTTTAAAGGTTTGCTATGTATTTTAAGCTTTCTTTAAAGCTAAGGTTGCGCTTTGCTCCCTTAATTTACTTTGATTGATTAAATTATTGTGAGCATAAAAAGTTTTCTTCAAAGATTTGGCTGAACTGATTGTATAAAAATTTACCTAGAGACTGTCAACTAAAGAATATAAAATAAAAATAAATTTAGAAAGTAGCGAAGGTTTGAAAAGAAATTTTTAGTTTTTATTTTCCACCAAATAAACAAAAAAGCTTCTCAGTACATAAAAGATGAAATCAAACAGATAATTTATGGAATATTAGCCAAATAATCTTTAACAGTCGATGGATCTAAGCGTCGGAATCCGTTTGGATCACAAATTCCAACTTCAATGTTGTTTTCGTTCATTTGTCCTTCGAAACCTTCCTTCAAAGTCAAAATAGCAGTGTGTACGGCATCATCTAACTCTAGGTCTTCGCTATAACGTTTCTCCAAAAATGTTTTGCCATTTACTGAATTCTTTCCCATAGCAGTAGCCTTCCAAGCAAAGTAAGCTCCTGACGGATCACATTGGAACAACAGCGGGATGAAATCACCGCTATGATTATGAGCTGGTTCCATTCCACAAATCAATAAAGAAACACCAAATGGACGAACACCGCCTGATTGTGTGTACTCTTGCATAACACCAGCCACACGTTGGACCAACTGAGATGTCGGGATGCTCTCTCCATAAGTTAAATAATAGTTCTGAGCCATTTTCCGTGCCTGTCTAACTAACAAACGATAGTCAGGTCCCATGCCACTGTAAACCATTCCAATGCCATCAGTGATGTTTTCAATTTTATGAACTGAGTTTTCATCATATAACAGAGATTTTTGCTTATTCTCAGTTGCGAAAACAATTCCATTAGAAGCTACGAAAAGAAAAAAGTTATTTTTCGGAATTTCTTTGTAAAGTTTCATTTTATTTTACCTTTAATGCCAACAGTACTTGCCCCAGCTGCAACAGCATTCAATGCATATTCAATCTGTACCAATTTTCCAGACGGACTAAAATGAATTGCAAATTTATTAGGAGGTTAACAAAATGATTCATCATAAAATTAAAAATTGAATTTTTCCGAGGTTTCCATTCATACCTGAATGTCGTTAATGAAAACGAATAACGCTCAGACGCCATAATACAGCTTTATGAAGTTTTAATAATTTTAAGAAATGTTTCTCTAGCTTGATCAATTTGTATTCTTCAATTGTTTATTTGTCGGCAGAGAATCGATTGTACCCAATAAAGAAGATAAATTTTAGATGCCGAATATATTCGCATGTTTTCGCATGTTGTTTTCATTTGAAATTCAAATTTACGTTAAATTTTGATAATCATTTTATGATTTCTATTAAACATTGTAGATATCTTACTAAACATAGATAATTGAATTAATATTTCTTTCCTTCAATACATGAATGTTGAGTGAAAACGATTTTTGGAGGAATAGAAAATTTGTATTTCTTTTCATGTAGCTATTATGTTTTAATTTAGATCTAAATTTATTTTATTAAATTTTTAAACATAAAAAAATTAAAATTTATTAGATATTGAATAATCTTTCTGTATGCCCATTTGATGCGATAACATGAAAGACGATTTTCTTCTCAACGTCTATGTAAAAATTACCTACCTAGTTTCCGGTGACGATCATAAGCTTGAGTGGTGTTCACTAAACATTTATGTTAAAAGCAAACTAGAAAAAAAGCGTGAATAAAAAAATTTAACACATACACAAACAAACTTAAACATAGTTTAAATATGCTAGCTTTACACCATTAAGTTTTGTTCGCAGTAAAACATTTTCTTTTCTCTCTCGATGCTTTGGTAGTCCGAGCTCAACTTCAAGCAGAGAAAGACGTATTTCTTTACACGTGTTAACTTATTGTTTGTGAAATATATAAAATAAAAAACAAAAGAAGATAGTAAATCGTAAACCATTTATGTGCATTCCAAGTTGATTAATGATTTTAAAAAGCGATAAGCTCAATGCTGATGACTGATATGAAGTAAAGTAATAGCGTTTAAGTTCGATAAATATTAGTTTAGTATAGAATTATCTATCAGAAAGTTATAAAGGTTTACCAAAATGGATGTAACGGATAAAGCATCAACATTCAAACGTGTAAGTAATAAATAAAAAATCTTCGTAATAGATTCATGATGAGTAAAAAAACAACAGTAAATAATACAAAAATGACATTTTGCAATATTTTATCCAAAAATTCAGAATGCTTTAAAGAGTCATTGCTGAGAAAAAATTAAGCAAGAGAAAAAATGTTTCGTTTGCTTGAAAGTCAAGCAATGAAAACAAAATAAAATAATGAGAAATGAAAGAATGCAACATAGACAGACAGAAAACTAAAAAGCACTGGAAAGCAGTGTGAGTTAAGTCAACTGTAAATCAAGTTATGTGTCGCTTGGGCTTCCGGTAATTTCGATACTGTGAGCAACTTCTCTCAATTAATATCGCGAGAGTAGCCCTGAATAGCACCTTGTCATGTAAAAGCTTGATAATTTCAAGCTTTTTTCCTTCAAATGAGTCAACATCAAGTTACATGCAACAACTTAAACATTATGTAATCAATCAAATTGGAACCAATAGCTAAGACCAAAACAATTCATCGGGCAGTGTTTTTACCGTTAAATCACGCAAACTTCTTAGATTCTCTTCGCAATTGATGCCTCGCTTCGTTTATAACTTTATGTCGATGGACCATTAGAAACTTTTCTTACTTCATTTTGAATTTTCATTTCTTTATGAGAATGAATGTTAGTTAGACATTTGAGTTTGATGGACTTGAGACGAAACAAACAAAAATGCGATTTATCATTAAGTAATTTGCGATTACAAAGCGCGAAAAAAATTAAAATGAAAGAAATTAATGTGAAGAAATGTGATTTTTTAAAGGCGATAACTTTCTGTCACGTTCACCATCGAAGCGTAATGATTGCGCTATTAATTCACTACTCTTCTAGATTTGTTACTGATTTGGAGCATTTTTTTTTTCTTTTCAATTTGAAATTCTCACGTTTTCATGCAAACACACATCGTGTATTATTCAAGATATGAATACACTTCTATAACTAAACATTGCGCTTTGCATCAATTATCTTAGCTTTGTTAATTCTTCGTGTGTGTAAATATATTTGAGGCGTGTTTATCAATTGAGAAAATAACTGATAAACTTGAGATGTTGCTATTTTCTTATAATATTGTATCCAAAAGGAATGTCTTCTTAAGTTTTCCATTCACCCATATATGTTGTCAGACCACATGACGCCACTTTATTTATCCCTGAAATTATAATAAATGAACACAAATATTTTGATTTCAATGTACAGTAGATTTCTTTGTATAATTTTGAAAGTATACCATGAAATTCTTAAGACTTCATCTTAAAAAAATATATGTAGATATATACTAAATATGTAATGTATGTTTAATGTATGTATGTGAATTATTAATGATGACATATATACTGAATTTTAATTAGGGCTCCGATCCAAGACTCATAACAACTCGTGGAAAACTTCAGAACAGAAGATGTAAACTGAATCAGGTGACAATAAAAAAATAATTCTTAGATATGATTTTGAATCACATAAAAGGTTTAATCGGTAATTTGATCTAATTTCATTTTCAAAAGGAAATCAACAAAGAGCTTCGTTTACGGTAAGATATCAAACGGCGCGCCCCATTATTTTCACTTTTCAATGACAAATATCTTTCAGGGCTGGAGCGGAAAATCTTTACAAAGCAACTTCTAATAAAAAGCTTCGAGACAAAATAAATTTAGAATTGAGTTTTATGAACTCAACACTTCAGCTTTTGAAAGAGCAATTAGCCGAATTGAATTCAGCGGTTGATGTGTACCAACACGAAAAGTAAATTGCAATGTCGACGATTAATTGTCAAAGATTCAGTTTAATAGAAGAATTATTTTATTTTTTTATTGCTCGTTTTTACAAAGGCATGAAGATTATTTACCGATGATTCCGCTTGGACTGAAAGAGACAAAAGACGTTGATTTTTTTGAACAATTCTCCGATTTTATTCTCGAGCATTATTCGGTCGATCCGGCAAACTTCGAAGATGCCATACTTGACTTGATCGACACAAGACAGGTGGGATCATAAATAATTAATTAAACACCTTGTACTTGAATGAATAAAAAATTATCTATTGCAAATAAATAACATTGAACAAAAAATGTAAATTGTTAGGCTACGAGAACACCAACCAGAGACATAGAGCTGCATGGTGTAGATTTGCTATGTAAATATTACAACCTTCTTTATTTCGCTGAACGAAGATTTTTTCCCGTCAATCGGAACTTAGGATTGTACTTTGAATGGTACGACTCACTAACAGGTAATGAACAATAAAACCATTCTTTCTACATCTCGTAATATAAATATGCTACTGACATTACGCAAATGGATTTTGCAAACTTTAGGTGAGCCAACGTGTCAAAAAACTATTACGTTGGAGAAAGCATCAACTCTTTTTAACATTGCTGCACTCTATACACAAATCGGTGCAAAACAAGACCGTACGCAACTTAAGGAACTCAATGGCGCTGTTGATTGTTTCTTAAAAGCTGCAGGAATTTTCCAACATATTATTGGTAAGAATTTCATGCATTGAAATAGATATTTAAATATTGAAATATTGCTTCATGAAAGAACATTTAATTTATGTCAACAGAAACATTTACAAACGCTCCATCAACCGACTTAAAGCCGTTTGTGCTTGAAGTGTTTGTATATTTAATGAGAGCGCAAGCACGAGAATGCATCTTAAAGCGACTTCAAATGGAAAATTCGCGAGATTACGAAATTCTACTTATCGAAGCGCAATGTCTTATGCGAGAATACAGTAAAATACATTACGACGTACAAAGCAATGAAATCAATTTTCCTGCATGTTGGGAGGCGTTAATACCATTGAAGACAGAATACTTCAAAGCATTATCACACGTGTACTTTGCGAAAAGTATTTCAAAAAGCGACACTGTAAAAAACGAGATCATTGATGAGAAGCACCGTTTGAAGACGATAAAAGCACATTTGCAAGCATCACAAGCGAGTCATGAAGAGATTTTAAGATTGCAACGGATGTGTCGGGAGCTTAGAGTGAGTAAATGCAGACATAATAAATCTTTTTTTTCCTTCATTTGTTTCATTACAAGAATTATTATCATTAATTAAATTTTATATTATGCAATGACGTCGTATAAAATTTTCTGTTGTGTTTCTCGTTTTTCTTTCTTCACATGCTTCGTCAAACTCATCCGAAAACAATAAAAAAATGATGGAAATAAAAGAACAAAATTAACATAGCCAAAGTTCTTCACAACTTGGAAGAATGTATTGTAAATGAAATGTTCACGTTACCTGAGAATATTAAAGACGATGAAGGTGAAATTATCGACACGACTCTGAAAGAAGCACAATCAAAGTACACGTTAGTTAATACAGCGCCAGATTTTGGTAAAGTCGACGATCCATTTAGAGACCTTGGACCGATCACAGTTTTCTCTGCAAGGCGATCTTGGTCAGCGCCACGAAGTGTTAGACTACATAAAACTGACTATCAAACAAGAAGCTATGGAACGGAAGAATTTGGATTCTCCATAAAGAGCGAGTCTCCAGTGATGATATCAAGTGTGGACATCAATTCTGTCGCTGATGTAAACTTTTATATTTTGTAGAACATTTGAGCTGTAATATTTAACTGCTTATATGTTTATACAGTTAGGTGGCATCAAAGTTGGAGACTATATAGTAGAAATAGCAGGACATGAGGCTAAATGGTTTACGCAATCGCAAATTCTAGAAAATATTAGAGCTTCTATGAACACGTTAGACTTGAAAGTCATTACACCAATGATTTATCAAAAACAGGTAAGTAATACCTAAGAATGAGTGAAGAATGTTATGTAATAGTTGGAAGAATGTTTTACTTAAGATCTCATAAATGTTGGTCATTTTGTTGCTTTTTCATTTAGTGTGCCAACAGTTTAAATTGTCATATAAAACTTTGTGAAATGAAAATTAGCAGTCGAAACTGTTGTCATTCTTCTAATGAAAAATTAACGATCAATGTTTGCTTGACGTCATTTTCAAGCAAAAAAAAAATATCTAATGACGTGATTTCAACGCTGTTATTTAATTTATTAACAGGATTCTGCAGACAAAAACAAGAAGCTGGAAAGTTATGCCGAATCTTCATCGGGATTTTCATCAGGAGCATCAAGTCCAACAAATACAAACAAGCCAATTAAGGGGCGCTTTGCAGGTGTTTGGAATCGCTTGAAAGCACACAGTATTCAAAAAGGATTGTTTCATCATTAAAAGAAAATAAAAAATATCAAAGAAGCGAAATTATGTTAAATTTTTTAAATTATTATTAATATTAGAAAAAACTTTAAATATTTAATTTATGAAAATAAAAAAGAAACGTGATGAATTCTTTGATGTTAAGCATAAATTTGTGTCGATTAATTAAATTTCAGATGCAGTGAATACGACGAAAATGCTTTGCGCATGAAGATTTGTGGAATAAAATTTTCAGCTATCAAAATAAGCTTTAAAATAGGAAACGAAAATCAATGTGCATGATTCATTCAAATCATCATAGATCGTTTGAGTTAATCTTTTTTTGTTGAATTGTTTGTTCTTTTATTGATTTACTTAAAACCAAAGAAAGAAACAATCTGCTATTTTTTTATGTCCCCATTACTCTAAACATTTAAGCTGTTTTAATTAATTAAACTTCTGTTTTATTGATAATTATTTCTTGTGAATTTGTATTTCTTCCGTTTAAAGTCTTGCAAAGTCGCTTAATGTTTCAACTTTCAACCTTTGACAATGTTTTTGCTTCACAAATTTAAGCTTTCTTTTTTAGAGACGATAAACGGTTCACATTTTTCCTGTCACATTCTTTCTGAACATTTGATGAAAAACATATTGAATAAAGCAAGACTTTTCTTTTTCTCTTCATGTTGTCTCTTTAAATTATTAAATAATTAAAATTATCTAACATTATGATGGAGATAGAGAAGGAAAACAGAAAACATTTTGCAAAATATTTAAATGAAATCAAAATGATTGAAATTGCAGTGAATTTGTGTTGCTACATTAAAGATAACTAAATAATCTGATATGAAAAGCCAACATAAGTAATAACTTAAACGGAAATTAAACTTAAATGATAATTGAATGATAAAGAGCCAGCAAGGATGTTGAATTATATTTTTTTCAAATTCTTTTTTTATAAAATGGACAATAACCAATTGAACTGCGCACATTTCTCAATTTTCCTCTTGAAATTACCTCAGGAGATTAGTGGAGAATGCCAGAAAATTCCGGAGAACAAAATTGCGGCAGATAAGTTCTACTTCAATTATTTCTTTGTAAGAGCGGCAAAACTGCAATGAAGGCTTTTGTATTTGAAGGTGTCGATGGTACACGCAAATACAAAAGCCTTCATTGCAGTTTCGCCGCTCTTACAAAGAAATAATTGAAGTAGAACTTATCTGCCGCAATTTTGTTCTACGGAATTTTCTGCCATTCTCGATTAGTGAATGCTTCTAAAAGTGAACATAAGTTATTCAAGAGCCTTCTTTTTGACTCTCCTAAGATAAAAAAAAAGTAATAATAAAGAATGTGAAGCATAATTTAATCTTATATTTTAAATGTAAGGAACATTTACTTGTTCAAGGATATTTTAAGATAAAAGATATTTTCAATTACTTTATATTAAAATTACACATGCACATAGGCTAAAACGTTGTTCATTACTTAAAATATGATGAACCTTTCTTTATTATGAGTACACGTGAATCAAATATCTCAACAAATCCTTGAAAGTTGAGCGAGCGATTTTATGTAATTTTATATGACTGATATTGTGAAATGAAAATTTATTTAATTCTGCAAATATATATTTCAACCTGTCGTCGCATTGCATGTCACATTACAGTAAATGTTCCTATGTTCGTTAGAGTCAAATGAAAACCTAATATATGTTTTTATTTATTTCGTTTGCGCTTTTTTCTTCTCATTTTTAATTAACTTTCTTCAATTCGTTCCTTAAATCTAAACAAAATTATCGTGTCAATGAACAGACAAAAAAAGAGTTCACAATCATTCGACTGACAGTTTCTTTTCACAAACAACTCTGAAAGTCTGATCATCGACATTATAATTTTGTTATCAAGAAATTTATTTTGTTTTCTTTTTATTAGAGGTTGTTCATGACGCAACATGTTGTTGTTGGAAAAATATAAAAATTTTCCTGTTTAGTAGTTTTTCTCATTTTTCTTTTCTTTACTTTTAGTGTCGCGAAGATTTTAAGTTATTAGTAAATTTTTTAAACAACATTGAGCTGACGAAGCTGATAAGACTGCTTGTTATTCGCTCTCTTGTTTATTTCTTCTTGTTTTTGTTATTGGCGGCACGTGGAGGTGTGACAGGTCGTCCACCTGATAGGTTGCTATATTGAAATTTACGTTTATCGGCCGGCTTCAAGATCTGGAAGGAGCACATCAGCGTATCATCAACAGACATCATTGCCCCTGTGAATTGAAATCAAGAGAATATAAATTAAATTATCAAATGAAGCTATTTGACATTACATACATTGACATTTAAATATAAACAACTCATTTAAATATGTAAATATTTACCGGCGTTATCAAATTCTCCACAGTAATTTGGCGCTGAAAATAATGTTACAAGTTGACGTTTTGCAAAGAATTCATAGCCATCTTCAACAACTTGATGAGCTCGACAAATCAAATCAAAGTCATGTTTAGCTAAGAACTTGGCAACGATCTAAAATGTAACAAATTGTTTTTTTATTCGAGCATGAGTAATCATATATGATTCATACCTCAGCACCAAAAGTGAAGCTAACACCTCGATCATTCTCTCCCCACCCCATTGTGTCTTTGTCTGGGTCTGACCACAAGAGATCACACAAAAGTCCTTGGTCGGGCACATCTGTGGGTCGCATAATACGACGAATCTGTTCCATTGATTGAAGATCGGGACTGAGTCCACCATGACAGCAAAAGATTTTCTCATCGACTATGGAAGAAAAAATAAAATTTTAAGATAACAGAAAAAGTTTCATAAAAGGCAAGCAAAATTTCACAATATTTACCAATTGCGGCTACAGGCAAGCAATTGAAGCAATCTGTGAATGTTTTCCACAATTTGATGTTGTATCTTCGTTTGCACTCGTCGTAGAATCTTATGATTGAAGAGAAAGAGATGAACTTTAATTGAATAAACGGCAGTAATGAATAACTCACCCGTAAATTCGATTTATACTTGCACATTCATGATTACCGCGAAGCAAGAAAAAGTTTTCTGGATATTTGATTTTGTACGCCAGAAGTAGACAAATAGTCTCAAGCGACTGCTTACCGCGGTCAACATAATCGCCCAGGAACAAATAATTTGATTCAGGCGGAAAGCCTCCATACTCGAACAATCTCAACAAGTCGTAATACTGTCCATGGATATCACCTGATAACAGCAAATCAATTGAGATTAGAATCATACAATGTCGTAAAAACAGTTTTTTTTATTATTACTCACCGCAAATTTTCAGTGGAGCCTCCAATTCGAGGAGTATTGGCTGTGAAAGGAAAATTTCGCGAGACTTTAAGCACAATCCACGAATTTCTGATTCAGTGAGTTGAACATTTTTTCCAGGTCTGGAACCACGAACTAAAATATTAAAATAGACTTATGATTAATGAAAATTATGAACAAAAGCTACGATAAAAGTGAAAATTTTGGCCCGGGCGTTGTTTTTCAATCTTTTCTCTTAAAACAACAGACATAAACAGAACTAAATCCACATTTGCGTCAATTAACTGCATTTGTTAAACAACATAATGTATATATCAAAACAATAAATACCTTCCAAGAGTCTTGCTATGATATTATCGATGTTGAGAATATCAATATCCGACATGTTTGTCTAAAGCGAAGTAGAAATGAGAAATTTTTTATATTTTTATATTTCGTTTTTCAACACGAGTTTTCGCAGATTTTTTGAAAATTTCTTTCAATCCTTGAAGAATTATCACTTACAATTGTGTTTAGCTATTTAAAAATGCTGAATCTTTAATTTTGCTACAATAAAAGTCTGAAATAAAGAATTTTATGAAACGAGCGATTCAGACTTCAGCACTACTTGAAGGAAGTTGATGACGAAACAATAGTGCTGAAGTGAAGGAATTTTTAAATTAGAATTCAAAGAGTCTCAAACCCCTTTGAATTGAAAACAAAATATTCCGAAGTTAATAAAAAAATATCAAAAAAAGTATAAAAAAGTATTCTACAGATAAATCTATACAATATGAGTGACAGCGAATCTGAAACCGAAAATTTGAAGGATGTTGAACATGTTACGGGACCAGTTGAAGATGCTTGGAAGATGAAAATTCCGGAATTTAAAGAACAAGACAATCCACATGGTTAGTTCATTTCGAAAATATAAATATTAAATTTCTCTACGATTATAAATGTGTTTTTAGGATTACTTGAGGAGAGTTCTTTCGCTACATTGTTTCCAAAGTATAGAGAAAAATATCTCTCGGCATGTTGGCCTCTTGTTCAGAAATCATTGGAAGCACATCGTCTAATAGCAGAGTTAGATCTTATTAAAGGATCGATGTTAGTTAAAACAACGAGAAAGACTTATGATCCATTCATTATAGTTAAAGCTCGTGATGTCATCAAGTTATTGTCACGAAGTGTTCCGTATGAACAGGCCATTCGTGTTTTGGAAGACGAAGTTTCTTGTGACATTATCAAAATTAAAAATTTGGTGAGAAATCGAGACAAATTCATCAAAAGACGAAACAGATTGATCGGTCCTGGAGGTTGTACTCTAAAATCAATCGAATTGTTAACAAATTGCTACGTTCTGGTCCAAGGAACAACTGTATCTGCTGTTGGACCTTACAAAGGACTTCAATGTGTTCGTAGCCTCGTCGAAGATACTATGAAAAATGTTCATCCAATTTATAATATTAAAGCGTTGATGATTAAGCGAGAACTAATGAAAGATTCAAACTTGAAAGATGAAAATTGGGAGAGATTTTTACCTAAATTTGAGAAAAAGAATCCAAATAAGGAAAAGCGTAAACAAAAATCTGATAAGCCTAAAACAAAGAAAAAAGAATACACTCCTTTCCCACCAGCACAACCAGATACAAAAATCGATAAAATGCTTGCATCAGGTGAATATTTTCTCACAGAAATTCAAAAGAAATCAAAACTCAATAAAGAACGTCGTGAGAAACAAGCAAGTGACAAGGAAAAACAAATGGCTAAACGTAGTAAAGATTTTGTTGCTCCTTTGGAAGAAGAAAATGTATCGAAAATTAAAAAATCGAAAACAAATATTCCAAATAAGGTTGATGTCAAGAAATTAAAATCAAAAATCAAGAAAGCAAATAAAATGAAATAAATTAGCATCACTTTTATAAAAATCTTGATTTTATTTATAAATAAATATTTTGTCATCACTTTCAGCTGTCGGAAATAGAAGTAGAATATTTGGCCATGAAATTTGATTCATATTATGAGTTTGTAAATAATACAAGGAAGGTAAAATATTCAAAGGGGCTGCAAACTTTCCATAAGTTCTCAAATGTTTGATTAAAAAATTTCATTTCTTCCCAAGCATTTACGCAAATATTATTTGAATGATTTAATATTATTAGAATATCAGTAATTAGGAGAGAAATCAATCGAATGAGAAAACATAGTTTACATTGAAAGTATCTTGGAGCATAACAACATTGAAGATTTAAGAAATTGGAAAAAAATTAAATTTTGTTAAAGAAAATAAATTTTCTAAACCATAATGTCTTATCATAGCGGTTGTAACTCAGACGTTGATGAAAGCAATTACTCAAGTAATAATTCAAATATGTTCTACTTTGGTCAGGTAAATATGTTTTAAGTTTTGCATAGCTTTTGCAGAATTTTCTTTATAGATAAAGAATTTTCTTTGATAAATGAATCAAAGAATCTTTATTACAAAAGTTTTCTTTATGTATATTATGAAAAATTTTCAGGATGATTCAGAAGATGAAACCTCTCATAAGGTCATTGTAGGTGTGTGTGCTATGGAGAAAAAGTCTCAAAGCAAGCCAATGAAGGAAATTCTTATGAGACTTCAGGTATGATGTTGAACATTTTCCGACTTATTTTTAATCGATTCATATTGATTTCATATTATTTTCATTGCTCACAGGAATTTGAGTTCATCAAAATATATGTGTTCCCAGAAAGTGTCATATTGTCAGAAGATATTGAAAATTGGTTTATCGTTGATTGTTTAATAAGTTTTCACTCGAAAGGATTTCCATTAGAGAAAGCAATAAAATATGCTCAATTGCGTAATTGTTATGTGCTGAATAATCTCATGATGCAATATGACATACAAGACAGAAGGAAAGTTTATGCAATCTTAGATCATGAAGGTATCGAGATCCCCAGATATGCCGTTCTCGATCGAGATTCTTCCGATCCAAAGCAACACGAATTAGTTGAATCTGAAGATCATGTAGAAGTGAATGGAATCATATTCAATAAGCCATTTGTTGAGAAGCCTGTTTCAGCTGAAGATCACAAGTGAGACATTCAAATTAGTGACAAACATCTAATTAATCACATGACTTCAATTTCAGCATTTACATTTATTATCCAACATCGGCTGGTGGCGGCTCTCAAAGATTGTTCCGCAAGATTGGCAGTCGCAGTAGCGTTTATTCACCAGAATCACGTGTTCGCAAAACCGGATCATTTATTTATGAAGAGTTCATGCCGACAGATGGTAAAAATTTGATAATAAGTTAATAAAGAATCATAATCTTAATACCTTATCATTTAATTGATTTTTTCAGGAACAGACGTAAGTCTAGATAACAATTCCACTTAATAACTTTTCAATTTAATTCTAAGTTATCTTCATTTCTTTTTCATAACATTGAACATGTAATACGACGAATAGGTCAAGGTTTACACGGTAATTTCATGAAATTATTTATTATTGAACTACTTTTACATGTAACAATTTAATTAAAGGTTGGCCCCGATTACGCTCATGCAGAAGCTCGCAAAAGTCCCGCTTTAGATGGCAAAGTTGAGAGAGATAGCGAAGGAAAAGAAATTCGCTATCCTGTGATTTTATCAAATGCTGAAAAATTAATATCAAGAAAAGTTTGTATGGCATTTAAACAAACAGTTTGTGGTTTTGATCTTTTAAGGTAAAAAATTATCGAGTTTAATATGATTTTCAATTTATATTAAAGTATTTCCAGAGCAAATGGTAAATCCTATGTATGTGATGTTAATGGATTTAGTTTTGTTAAAAATAGCAACAAATATTATGACGACACAAGTCAAATACTTGGAAACATGATTCTAAGAAATCTTGCACCAAAAATGCATATTCCTTGGTCAGTTCCTTTCCAACTTGATGATCCACCAATAGTACCAACAACGTTTGGAAAAATGATGGAATTGCGATGTGTTACGGCTGTGATAAGACATGGAGATAGAACACCGAAGCAGAAGATGAAAGTTGAAGTGAGACATCAGAAGTTTTTTGAGATATTTGAGAAATACGATGGATACAAGAAGTTATCAATTAAATTGAAAAGACCAAAACAACTTCAAGAGATTCTCGATATATCTCGATACTTGCTGAACGAGATTCAACTAAATCCTGGAAGTGATAGAGAGATTGAAGAAAAGCAGGGAAAGTTGGAGCAGTTGAGAGCAGTTCTGGAAATGTACGGTCATTTTTCTGGAATAAATCGAAAAGTTCAAATGAAATATCAACCGAATGGAAAGCCGAAAAGTTCAAGTTCTGATGAAGACACAAGAAACGATCCATCTCTTGTGTTAATTCTTAAATGGGGTGGGGAATTAACACCTGCTGGTCGGGTGCAAGCTGAAGAACTTGGAAGAATGTTTCGTTGTATGTATCCAGGAGGTGGCACTCATGGTGATGATGATACCACTGGCTTAGGTTTACTTCGTTTGCATTCAACATTTCGACATGACCTGAAGATTTATGCTAGTGACGAAGGACGAGTTCAAATGACGGCGGCTGCATTCGCCAAGGGTTTATTAGCATTGGAAGGCGAACTTACTCCAATTTTAGTACAAATGGTAAAAAGTGCAAACACAAATGGGCTTTTAGATAACGATTGCGAATCTTCAAAGTATCAAAATTTGTAAGTATCTAAATTGTTAGGATTTTAAAATTGTTTCAACTTTTTCTGTTCGTCATATTTTATCAAATTTCAACACAATTTAATTATAGGGCAAAACAGAAACTTCACGACTTGATGCAATTGGATCGTGATTTTTCAATAGAAGATCGTGCAGCTTTAAATCCTTGTAATTCAACGAGCATCAATCAAGCACTTGATTACGTGAAAAATCCATTTGCTTGTTGTCGCATTGTAACTGAATTAATTAAAGGACTTGTTGAATTAGTAAATATTAAGAAAGATGATCCAAAAACAAAAGACAATGTTTTGTATCATGGCGAGACTTGGGAGTTGATGGGACGTCGTTGGGGAAAGATTGAGAAAGATTTTTACAATAAATCTAATGGAGTTTTTGATATATCTAAAATTCCTGAAATTTATGATGCTATAAAGTTTGATTTCTGTCACAACCAGCATTCGTTGCAGTTTAATGAGGCTGAGAAACTTTATGTTTATGCAAAGAATTTAGCAGATATTGTAATACCTCAAGAATATGGTTTGACAATGGAAGAGAAATTGGCAATTGGAACGGGAATTTGTACACCATTACTAAGAAAGATTCGAGCTGACTTGCAAAGGAATATTGAGGAGCCTGAAGAAAATGTTAACAGATTAAATCCTCGTTACTCTCATGGGGTGTCATCACCAGGACGACATGTCAGAACCAGACTTTATTTCACAAGTGAATCCCATGTTCACTCACTTTTAACAGTTTTGCGGCATGGGGGTCTTTTACCTTTAAACGATCAACAATGGAGACGTGCCATGGAGTATGTCAGTATGGTATCTGAACTAAATTACATGAGTCAAATTGTTGTGATGCTGTACGAAGATCCAACTAAAGACGTTTCATCGGAAGAACGATTTCATGTTGAACTTCATTTTTCACCTGGAGTTAATTGTTGTATAAATAAGAATTTACCTCCAGGGTTAGTGATGATAATGACAAATATTTTATTGATTGATTTTAATTTAATTATTTTTCTATTCAGACCGGGTTTCCGTCCAAATGCTCAATCTAAAAACCCTGTAAGTTAATTGTAATTTTTAAATATTAAACAAAAACTCATAGAATTGTTTATCTAGTCTGATGAAGATGATACATTTGTGAGCAAGATCGAAGAAGAACATGATGAACTTTGCAGCATGAGCGAAAAGAAGCGTCCGCCGAAAATTTCAAATCCAATTCATATTTCACATCACACAGTTTCTGGGCATGAGGCTATGAACTTAGCAAAAAGATTGACTCAAGAGCTTTCAACAAAAACTGGTCAAAGTGGATCAGAAGAGACTGCTTTGAATCTACCACGTGCTATAAGTCCCGAATGTGAGACAATTTCAAGATCATTTGAGAAGAAAGGTAATTTAAATGAACATCTCAAGTATTCTGATAAGAATTCATTGAAATTTCTATGTTTGTGAAATGCAATGATGGGAACAATTAACTTGATTGAATTTTATTTGGGAACAAAAGAATTTTAAAAAATTGATTATCTATGAAATTTTCATCGACACAAAATTGCATATTTCACATAACTAAAGTGTTTCTGTGCATGAAAGTTGTTAATATATTTTTATAATTCTGCTTTAGTTTTTGAAAGATTAACAATTGATTTTAAGTTTCACACTTTAAAGATATTTTTATGTTGTCACGCTAATGCGCACTAAACATTTGGTTTGATTAACATCAATCTAACAGATTTTAATTTTTGGAGAAAAACAAAGAAACAAACAAAAAAAGATAGAAACGAAAACCATAAGACAGTTTAAGGCAAATAATTTTAGAAGCATAATCAGGTAATATTATCAATGGAAAGAAATTCAAATTTGTTTTGTTTCATTACTCATTTGCTTTAATTGTCATTGTCAAAAAACAAATTAAATTTTCTATCAAAATTTCATTTTTTAGAACATGATAAAATTATCTAATTGAAATGTTTCACAAAATCGTTCATAAATAATATTTGTAGTGTTAATTTTTGTCTTTCAGATATTCATGTAGCCTTTCTGAGTGAAGACTCTTGAATATTGAAATTGTTAATGATTTTAATTATCTTAAATTCTAGAAATATCAAAAAAGGTTATTTATGAACGATATTCAAAATAATAACAGAAATGAGTTTATCTGGTCATAAATCCGTGTCATTGTTGTTTAATGAGTGTTTAATTCTCAAAAATTATCCTCAATATCATTAAGTCATGGTCAGTTATAAAACAAAATTTGCATAAATTTGAAAAAAGAAAAGAAATAAGAAATTGCTTAAAAATAAGTCAGCTCAAAGTTTGCATGTTTCAAAAACTAAAAGCTACTTAGAGTGACATCTTATTTTTAGCGCATTTATCTAAGCAAATTTTGCAATGAGTTAATGATACTTGACTTTGGATAATTTTCTTTGCCGTAATCTTTGCTTGCAAAATGAAATCAAAACTATTCTACTCTTTCTAACTTTCTTTTTTAATTATCTACCATTGGAATGAACATTGATCTTCCTTTTCTCTAATAATTTCTGATATTAAATATCTTCTTTGTCCTTGAGCTTTTTTTATTTCTTCCCTTAATTATTTAAACATTGTCTTGATGGGACTTTGGTGCCAAACCAAAAAATGGAGTTTTTAAAGAACAACCAAATGAATACTCTGTAACCTTGTGTACAAAAACAAAATCCTCAATTGAATGATTAATTTAAAGATTCAACGCGCGCCAGACAACATCGACACAGTTTATGTCAGCAAATGAACTCTTTCAAATTCCAAAATAAGCATATCAGATCTAGCAGCAGCTTTATATTCTCGACTGCGGTAATAAGTGGAAGTAATTCAGCTCCAAATCTAAGCGAGATGATGATAACGAACACAACAACACCGGCAGGTAATTTTAAGATTTTTCATTTTTGGGTTTTCTTAAGTCATGTTTTAACTTATTTTATTTTGTGTTGAATAATATGAGAAGCAAAGCAAAGCAAAAGAAAAATCTCGAAAAATTTTCTTTTCTTGTAAAGATTCAAATCTCTCGACAAATTCAAATGTGACAGATTAAAGAAACAGATTTTGAAGCTTGCATCAAATTATTAACAATTGATCAGCTTTGTTTATTAATGATAAATTGGCATTTAGAAAAATCATGCGATAAGTATCAAAGGATCTTGGAGACGGCAGAGTTGAATAAGAAAATTCGACGACCAATTTTTTTCGTCCTCAAACCTTTCTTAAGTAAGTTAAGTTTTTCTTATTTCTTCACATTTTTGCCAATAATTATAGCAGACTGATATAGTTAGTATACGTAATACGAATCATAACTTATAATCTTGCTTTTCTCTTGCTAATAATGAAATAAAATTTCAGCTAAAAGATGCAGCTCTGCCTCTCAGAGATCAAACACTAAAGCTCTCTGTTCTTCACATTTTCCATTCCTTTGTTTTCACTTTCCCATCTTCATCCTTTTAATACATTTTCTCATTTTCACAAGTATCAGGAATCTTCGGATCGCCTCCAATTCGACCACTTGAAACTTTACACAACGCGTTATCGTTGAAGCAACTGGATGGATTTTTGGAGCGAATGACAAACTTCATGCCAGCAAATCGGTCTGGACACTATGATCGACAAATGTCAATACAGGATTAATAACAACAGAAACAATGTTTTTATTTTTGTGAATTTCAAAACGGTAGAGTGAAAAATTTATTTCCAATTTTATTTTATTGTCAATAAAAAAATATAAAGAAAAAAAAGGAAATTTTTTAAGTTTCATAAATATTCGGTAAAACTTAGACTTAAATGTTCATCATTCTCTTCAACAGCTTTTTTCAACTTCATGTCACGATCAATTGAGATAACTTTCATTTTATCTTTTATAGAATAATTGAAAAATATTTCATGGAACTTAAGTAAGTCAGTTTGTAGTTGTTGGAAAAGTTTCAGAAGATTGTTTTGCATTGGACTTTCTTCTTCGTCTCGATTTTGCAAATCCACAACAAGATGAAGAGTTTCTTTAATATTTCTAATATGATCTTGGACGTAAAGAGTTTGCATTAATCTTCTCGTCAAATAGCCACGCGTATAAGCGTTGATGATGTTTGCTGCTTCAATCTAAGGATAGAATTTTTTAACTTAAAGTTTCAACTTTTACACACCATACGAACCTTAACATCGTTTTCATTTGTGATTGTTTTCTCTTCAAGACTACTTTGAGTTTGTAGACATGTTTTAAAATTAGTAAATTCCTCGTCATCAGTACAAGTCATCAATGAATTGTTTTCCATAGGAGTGGAAGTAACTGGAATCATATCAGTTTGTAGTTTCAACAAAAGTTGCTGTTGTTCACTTTTGAACTTGTTCTTCAAAACTTCCATTGCTTGTAAATATTCTCGCTTTTGTTTATCGATGAGATCTCTCAGTTGATTATTTACTTCCGCTTCTATGGATTCAAAAGCAGACGAAGCTGGAGTTCCAGATCTTTTGTCAATCTCATTTTGTAAATCTTTGGAAGTTTTAAGACTTATTAAGTCTGTATCTTCTGTCATGAGCGATATCTGACCATCAACAACTGTATCCTTATCAGATTCTGAGGATTCGATGTTTATTTGAGGTAGAATAGTTGACGCAAAAATTGGAGAATTTAAGATGTAAGATCCTCTTCTTGGCCCCATTGATCCTAATCGAGAATCAATTTGATGATCATCATTATTGTTCTGTTTTTCTGCATTCTGACGATCTTTAATTTCTTTTCTTTCAAGCCATTTCTTTTCTTTTGTTTTTACAATTTCACGAATATTTTTAATTTCATCCCTCAACTTTTGATCAATCTTTATTTAAATAAAAACATTGTAAATTAAATTTTCTAATACAAACTTCAAATCACTTACAATTGGAGGCATGATAGGAATATTATTTATTTTAAAATACGATACAAACATTTTGTTATCTTCCATCCTGATGCGATCGGTTTTGGAAGTTTATGTTCAAACTGAATATGAGCTTAATCGTATTTAGCTTAATCCTGTTTAATGTATGTTTAATCTAACTCCGAATTTAAAATATTTAAATCCGTTAAATTTTTATGACAATTTTCTATCTGGAAATATGTAGCTTATTACCGAAAGTGTTAAAAGCTTATTAATATTGTACCTACCTACCTACTTATAATCGATAATAATCATTGATTTTGTATGAAACTAGCACTTGAAGTATGAAGTAAAATTAAGATGTTATTATATGATTTGATATTTAAGTTCAAGTATCGGTTCAAGTAATATTTAGTGGACATGTGATTATCTCTCTCTTCTCTCAACATCAATATGGTTATTTAGTATTTTTGCATTTAACATTTTTTCCTCAACACTCTCATTTCAGACGGTTCACTTTTATTTTCTTTTATTCACAAGACACCAGGTTTATTAAGTTTAGTATAGTTTGAGACGTCGGGCGTGCAACACGAAAAAAAGAAAGAAAGGAAGACCGTTTTAAAACAGAAAAAAGAGAGTGGTAAAGATCAGCAAAAAGTTCATTGTCTTTTAATTGAAAACAAAAAAAAGTTTAAGCGTTACGTAACTTCTGATTGATGAGAAAGAATAAGATAAGAAGAAAGAAGTTGATATTGTAAAATTACTTGGTATACACATGAAATAATATAGAAGGCAAAAAACATCCGGTGCTCAGAAAATCATAAAGACAAATGAAAAGATAGAAATCAGTATAGTCTGGGGAACTCATTATGTGCAATAAAATTGCGAGTTTCGATTATTTAGTGGAGAAAATTAAATTATAATTTCTTTTTCTTTACATTTTTATTCGACACAGAAATTAAGCAGCTAAATTTTAAAGAGCTGAAAATAATTTGTGAATGTGTACAACAAAAAGTTATAAAATAAAGTAGAAAATCGATGAACGTGGTAAGTAAATAAAAAGTGAACAATATCTTCAATCCCTGCCTCAACATATTCCAGCATTGAATTCTTTCGTATTCAAAAATCACAACCTTTAGTTGTTCGGAAATACTCCATAAAAAACTCACATAAAAGTGAATTACAGACTTTAAAATGGAAGAATTGTGAGAAACCAAGAAAATCTTGAGGGACTGCACATTTAATCTATAATCTAGACTTCCATATAAAAAATCATGAAATCAAGATAAAAAACATCATTAAAGTTGCGGTGGCTGCGCGTTTTCTCTGAAGCTTCACCTAGTTTTCTTTTTTTTTCTTAAGCTCTCAGATATTTATGCTTCTGCGAAGTAAAATACTTGTTAAATTCATTGATCTTTGCAGAAACCTGCTGCAAGTTGTAATGAATATTTTTCAATGCTACTTTTAGTTGTTTTTATTTCTCGAAAGGAAACCTAATTAAATAACGTACACACATATTAATTAAAGAATGATTCAAATTCATTTTGACATCTTGAAAAAATATTAAAGAATCTTGTTTCATTACTTTGAAACTCCCCTATATCAAAAGCTCAATTTACAAAGAAAACGAGTTGTAAAAAAGTTTTAACAAAATGCCATTTTATGTTACGTAAACTCTTCACCATCTCGCGTAGTATTAAAATTGATATTTTAATATTCATTCGAGATGATTTAATCGAAATTCCTCACACAACCAGATGATGATCTTCTTTCATTCGTCTTCTCTTTTGGCAATTGTCTTAAAGTCATTTATTATCATCAAAAGCAAAAACGAAATATGTTCGAGAAAAAAGAAATATTTGAAGAGTTTTTTTCATTATTCGCATGTCGTCGATATTCAATTTCATGACTAGAAGCAATTAGTAAACTCCGGAACAAAGCTAACGCTCTCCGCCTTCCGACGAAAATCAATTGAGTGCAAAATCTGTATTAGATAAATATTTTATAACATCTTTTTTTTATTGATAGAAAGTTTTTTTTCATAACTACTTTTCTTTACTGTTTCGGGCATTTTGTTTATTTTCATTTTTCAAACCACAGTATTGAAATATTTTAGACTTGTACATACATTTAATAAATAAAAATTGCGACGAGAAGCTCGTGTCATAGTCTCTCAAATACCGATTGAAAATAAAAGTGAAAACTTAACTCGTCTTGACACAATCTTTGTCGTAGTCTCTTAAATGTTAGATAGATGGATATGTACTTGGGAAGGTGCCAATTTTTATTTTTACAGTTACATAAATAAACGCAGGTAATGTCTTGGTCAGGAAATAATGCCATCTTAAACAGTTTTACAACTTTAATTAACTTTTTTACGCAGAATTTAATAAATATTTAAGTTTTTATAAAACAGTGGATGAATTAGTATGACAAACAAAACCTCAATATGACTCAATATTAATTTAAAGGTTTATTTTAAAAATAAAAATTTCATCAGCCTCGATCGCTGTGGAATGTTTAAGAATTTGACGTAATAATTTGACACTATTAATAATAAAGGTCAAAGGACGACGGTGTTAAATATTTATGATTTTTTACACGTTATTAGATATTTATTGTCACAATAACGAAGACAAGAAAAGTGGAAGCACCGACTTCTGTTATTAATGTGTGATCAAATTTACAACTTCAACCTAATGGGAGACTTTATGTGGCAAAGCCCATTGTGTCAGTAGTACCTGCTAAATTCTCATAAATCTTCGACAAAGAAGGTTTAAGCTATTAAAACAACCATAAGGAATTTGCTTTCAACAAGAAAAAAAAACTCTTCCATTCACATTTGCATTTTAATTGAAGCACCAAAAGAAACAAAAATGAGATTCACAAAATAAAGCATTCCGTCAACAAATACTTACAAAAACTTGCCGGCCTTGACTATGCCGCGAAAAGAGAAGGAAAAAAGCATGACAAGATCAGTTGTGGTGCGAAAAGCTTGGGAGAGAAATAACAGAAAAGAAACAATCACATCGCTGTCTGACTTTTGACTTTTTTCGCTCACTCACCTTATCGATACTCTACGCACTGCTATACGATACAGTTACCCACATATTATCAATATTGAATTCCGTAAGCAGTCGCTTGCTATAAATAAAGAAATATTTATTCAAAACCAGATACGGGTAGCGATGTAAAGATTATGGAAATGTTGATTAGTGGTAAATCTTTTTTAAAGCGATTATTATGTAATCGTCACTTGAAACGGAATTCTTACTCATTTCTCCTTTTTGTTTATTACCAATAGATATAGTGAAAAAAGAAAACGTTTGTGAATTTTTTTCATTATTCATTCAACAAATTGAAATAAGTGAGTGTGGTAAACAAGCAATATTAAATCGAAATGATTTCATTCAAACTGACCATGATTTTTGTAATGCCTTGAAAAAGTGGTACTCGACTGAAAAATCATCACATTTTTTTAGAACAATGGGTCATTTAGCGCTGAGATAATTTCATTAATAAGTGTTTAGTGTTATTAATTGAACAAAGTTCCTATGATCTTCTTATTCAATTTTTGTACGTTTTTCACCTCATTTCATTATTGTAGCAATTAAGTGCACAGGTCATTTACTCATGAACGCGTAAATTTAATGAGTTAAGTAATAATTCTTCTTATTTTGGAAGTAAATAAATATCGCAATAAAAACTGAAGGTGCAGAAAAACGTTTTTTCAGTTAGTTTTCGTAATTCAATCGATTTTTCATACTTGTTTCACGGGAGAACTCAGACAAAGTTGGCATTTTATTTCGTCTTGTAATGAATTGGAGAAAAAAATTTTACAATTTTGAGATACTTTTTACGCTGCAATGTTTCACAAATTGTATAATGACATTTAACTTTGATAGATTTAAATTTTAAATTAAAAAGAAAAAAGTTAAAATGTTGAAACTTACAGGGCGAGCCAAAATCTTGATCGAAATGTTTTTCAGATTCTTCAAAAGCTCAAGCTATTCATGAAAGGATGACATATTTCTGAGTCAGATCTTAAAAACACTTAAAGTCAAACTTTACTCATTTAAAACTATGGAAAGAAAAATTTCCGGTTTGTTATGATCAAACATACTTGAAACAAAAATAATATTGTTGAACTTTGCTTTAGTTCTAAGAACAATTTTCAATAAGAAGAAAAAAATTCCAATATTTGTCGTGCAATATCCAATGCTAAGTTTCCTTGAAAGTTCTTTTTATATTCATAGTTTTTGTGTGTCAATGATTGGCTACTCAATTGGAGTGATATTCAACAATTTATTTTAGATTTATTTCTACTGAGTCATATGACTTTATATTCCTTTCAAATTCATAGTCATACTTTAAGAAAAGAAATATATCAAAAGATTAGGTAAAACTATACGAATATTTCAGAAATTTTACCTAATCATTTTGATTTCAATTCATTCTCCCTGAAATCTCGAAATGTGACAATCAAATATGAGACAAAATTGTAAAAACTCATTTCTGGTAAGAATAAAATCAACCTTTTATAGTAAAAAGCATCGTTAAGAACGAATCAAATTAACTTTTTTGGAATCTTTAAACACGCGCAAAAGCATAAAATGGTTCTATAAGGTCACATAAATATTACCGTCATTAAGCAGATATTTGAATAAATTTTTGTTGCTGACTCAGAGAATTTGAAATTGACAAAAATCAGATATTTATTAGAATATTTAGATATTTATCCACAATAAGAAACAACAGGAAACTGGTTCTGAAAGACAGTAGAAAACTTTTTAAGATATGCAAAAGCAAATTTTTATTGCATGTCCTCAGGTTTTTCTCTGATTTGATTCAAGTTTTTCGAGTATATTGAAAGCAAAAGTAATTCTTTTACTTTTATATTTTTTCTTGCCATTTATTTATAAGTGAAATACTCAAAACAAGTCATCGTCATGCATGTCTTCTTTTGCTTTAAAATTTTATTGCACTTTCAATGAACTGGAAAATCGAGAAAGCTTTCAAATCCCTTAAAAGCCATCATGTTATCTTTACGAATACTTGCATGTGATGTTATAAATATTTATCCTTCATAAAATAAATAGCCAAACATACATAACAGGTTTCATTTATTGTACAAATCGTAGTACATATTTAGCTTAGAGAATTTTAAAAATTTAATCACCACCCCAATTTGTTCAAGAGATAGATACGCTTAATCCCGTTGTTTAAATATTTACAAATACACTTAAGAAACTTATCTTTCAATAACTCAATAAAGCAAAAGCAATAAATATCTCAATCAGTTTTGTCAATTTAATGATTTTGACGGTCATTCATTGTGTACATTAACAAGAAATATTTGAGAAATAATTCAAACGGTCACTAATAATCGTCAGGGAATGCATTATTCAATATTGATTCAAAATCATTTCAAAAAGCTTCCGATTGTTTTATAATCTTTTAGTATTGCGGATTAATTCAATGGAAACGAGTTGGGATTTTTGAGTCATTCATAAGAAGCTCGTGAACCTCCTTTGCATCGATTTCAAAATCATGATCATCATATGATTGTTGCTGAGCGTCTTCTTATGTTGCATACAAAAAACTGGACAATAAAAAATATTTTTAGGTCAGTCTTGAAAATATTATGCAACGATGCGATCATGAGTTGGTATTTGTTTCACATTTATCAGCTCTATTAGCGTTCATTACATTGAAGTGACGGTGAACCATACATACATAAAGCGTTGAAAGAGAAAGCAGTAATAAATGACGATAAATTGATGCTTGCGGATAAATTGGAACGCATAAATATTCAATAATTTATTGAGATTAGTACTCTTAACCCCATATCAAATGTCTGTCTGAAACTTACATTGTATGTTTGTAAAAATATGCATGCTTACTTGTTTATCTAATGAAAATTGAAGTGTCTTAAATATTCATGCGTTGCTTTTATTTAGGATTTTGTAAAACTCACATTATGCAAATATCAAAACATCATTTTAAAACTAAACTTAATGAGCTTTCATCTATCTCTAAAAAGAATTTTAATTCTCCTTGATAGTATCTGTGAGAAAGATGTTGATGCATAAACTCGGAATCGTTGCAATCATCTTATGCGCTCTGATTGATTACTCAATAGCGGAACCAAGAGTCGTTTGCTATTATACAAATTGGAGTGTTTATCGGCCAGGAACAGCAAAATTCAATCCACAAAACATAAATCCATATTTATGTACTCATTTAATCTATGCTTTCGGTGGTTTCACCAAAGATAATCAACTGAAGCCCTTCGATAAATATCAAGACATTGAACAAGGTTGGTATCCATTTCTGTTAAAATTTATTCTGCTCAATCTTAAAGATTTATTTCCTCCCTTTTACAGGTGGATATGCCAAGTTCACGGGCTTAAAAACTTACAATAAAGAGCTTAAGACTATGCTAGCCATTGGAGGTAACATAATGTTGTAATTTGAACTATGAATGTTTGAAATTTAAATTTAAATCATGCATGACAGGTTGGAATGAGGGATCGACGAGGTTCTCGCCTTTAGTGGCAAGCTCCGAAAGAAGAAGTCAACTTATTAAAAACGCTATCAAGTTTTTACGTCAAAACAAGTTCGACGGTTTGGATTTGGATTGGGGTAAACATGTTCGTCATAGCATAAACATTCGTAAATAAATTAAACTAAAATTATTCACAGAATATCCTGCATTCCGTGATGGTGGAAAAGCAAGAGATCGTGACAATTATGCGAAACTGGTTCAAGAACTTCGTGAAGAATTTCAACGTGAACATGATAAAACTGGTAGACCACGACTTCTCTTGACAATGGCAGTTCCAGCTGGCTTAGAGTACATTGATAAAGGCTACGATGTTCCAAAGCTTAACAAACATTTAGATTGGTTCAATCTTCTCAGCTATGATTATCATTCAGCTTATGAACCTTCAGTGAATCATCATGCACCACTTTATCCAATAGAAGAAGAAAACGAATACAGCTACGATACCGATTTGAACATTGTAAATATTTTAGCGACAACTTTGTTTGAAACTCAAAACAAAAAGCCTCGAAGTTATCGAAAAAGTTTAATCAAAAATCCTTGCTTTACAGAACTCCACCATCAACTATTACTTGAAAGCTGGTGCCAGTCGAGATAAGCTTGTTTTAGGAATTCCTACATATGGTCGAAGTTATACTTTGTTCAATGCTGAGTCAAACGAAATTGGAGCACCAGCCGATGGCCCAGGTCTGAATTTAAAGAAAAAAGAAGTTTGTCTAAATATTTGAGGTAATCATAAAATTTTATTTCAATGCCAGGTGATCAAGGCGATGCTACACGAGAGAAAGGTTATTTGGCATACTACGAAATCTGTCAAAGTATCAATGAAGAAGATTCTCAGTGGACAGTTGTACAGCCAAATCCTGATGCACTCGGACCTTATGCGTACAATGACAATCAATGGGTTGGATATGACGACGAAGAAATTGTGAGAAAAAAATCGAAATTTGTCGTCGAACAAAACCTCGGTGGGATCATGTTTTGGTCAATTGATAACGATGACTTCAGAGGATTGTGTAATGGAAAGCCGTATCCGCTAATTGAAGCCGCTAAAGAAGCTTACTTTGACGGTATTTCGTAAGTCACGAATTTTATTTAGAAACTATTTAAATTCAAAAATTGTGTATGAATGAATTTATTTTTTTATTTGCTTTAGTAACGGAGTTCCAACGAGAAATACCATCAGCTCAGGCCGAAAACAAGTGAAAGTTGCGACAACTACTACGAAACGACCAGATTCAAGAAGCAAAAGCGGTGGGAAATTCACTACACCGCCCCCGCCAACAACACCGGTAAGTTTAACATCGCTCGTTATTTATTCACGAATCGATTCAATTAGATCGATCGAAATCTGTTCCGTTCAAAGGACCCTGGCAGTGACTTCAAATGTGAAGACGAAGGTTTTTACGCCCATCCACGCGACTGCAAAAAATATTTCTGGTGTTTGGAAGCTGCTGGTCTCGGAATTGTTGCGCATCAATTTACTTGTCCCTCTGGCCTTTATTTCAACAAAGCAGCTGATTCATGTGATTACACAAGAAACGTGCTTTGCTCAAAAACAACAACGACCAAAACAACAACAACGACAACTGAAGAACCAGTAACAAGAACGACAACGACAAGAGCTGCTGCTGTAAGCACAAGAACAAATCCACTGTACAGAAGTCCAAGTCGAACAACCCAACGAACAACAACTACGACAGAGTATGTCGAGCCAATAACTGAACAGCCTGAGTTAGATCAAGAAGATCCAAGAGTTATTAAAGAATTGATTGATTTGATTAAGAAGGTCGGGGGCGTTGAAGAGTTGGAAAAGCAATTGAATTTACATGAAGAAGGTGGAACCGTTACGTTAAGTTCAAAATCAGATTCAAGAGTCACGACGTCATCGCCTATTAGTAAATCGCTATACGACAAAATTAAAAATCGTGCTTCAGTATTGAAAACCAAACCAGCATTTAATGGAGCATCTCAACCCGAAAGAGTTCTCGAACGAACTGAAGTGAAAGAGAGATCAACAACATCAACGACAGAAGCTTCATTGGTGTCAAGAAAATATCAGACAGTAAATCGGTTTAGTCGTCCAGGTCCTCAAAGCTCAGGCATTGAGAGTCTACCAGAATCCGATGCAGTTCTGATTGAGAAACCCCAATATACTGTAATTAGCAGAAGAAAGCCAGCAAAACCAGCTGTCGTCGTTGAAAATGATTACAATGGAGACTCTGAAAGTTCTTCTGTTGAAGACATTAAGAAATCTGAAGAAAAATCAGAAAAATTCAGTGGAAAACAAAAATATGCAAGCATTTCTCGTTTACGACGTCCACAAGTTCAAGTTATTGACGATGAAAATGACTCAGATGAAGAAGAAGAAGACATTTTCCCTCTTCGTAGTTCAGTTACTCAACAGTCAACACCTTCAAGGTCGACCTCTAAGTATGTGAATCTCAGCCGTAGACGATCAACAACATCAGCACCAGATGTGGAAAGGTAAATTGAAACATTTCACAAAACAAATATTCAAATAACAATAAAAACTTATGGGCGCATTTTGATTTCAAAAGTTTTTCATTTCTTTCTAACATAAACTCTTCATAAGTTTTCTTTGTTATGATTCATCATTTCATTGCCATTGCATTTGAAATATATTTTCATGAATATGAAATGCCTTTTTAGAATCGATGATGCCGAGGAAGAGACAACGACGACAACGACGACGCCCTCAAGACGAAGACTCTCGGAATCAACTCCAACACAAAAAACGGTATTGAGTGTTAATATTAACAGAAATAAAATTCAATCAAACATTCAAGACAACATAGACACAATTAAAACTCTTGAAAAGGAAATATTAACAGGAAATAAGAATACATTGGATGATGATGACAACTTTGACAATATCATTGCCCTTCCTACAGAACCCGTTACCGATAATGTTCCTTTCCCCGAAAATATTTTCACGACAGGAACTCCAAGTTCCACGACACCTCCCACAACAACCCCCCAAAGTATTCAGGTAACAGAATCTGCTAATCAAAGCGAGTCATTGAATGATATTCTTGATGATGGATCGAATGAAATTGATCCTGAAACAACCACTTTAATTATTGACTTGGGTATCATTGATAGTGGCAAATCTAATCTAATCGACATTTTAAGTTTCCGCGAAAAGTCGAATTCACTCGCCCCAAGACCCTTTTCACGTCCCTCTTTTACACGCACTAGGCCCACTGTAAGTAGTAGAAATGAATTTAGCACGTCGACAAAATCATCAACAACCACACAAGAACCAACTTCGAAAAGCACGCGATCCATTCGTCGTCGTCCAACAAGACAATTCACTACAGTTGCTGACACTGATAATGATTTAGAATCGACAACACGCGGTCATTACACATATCGACCTGGTTATCGAGGCACTGCACGTTTCAGACCATCGACGACTAGATCTGGAGAGTATGAATACAAAGACAATTTACCTTTTAATAGTTATGATCCGATTGAAAATAATCGTTTGAGATCGTTGTCTTATGACCGAGCTTCAAAAAGACCAAAAGCTTCGACTGAATCATCGGATAATCCAACAACGGAAGGTTCAACACGTCGTCGTTTAAATACTTCAAGAAGATCCTTCACATCAGCAGCAAATAATCCTACTCGCAATGAAGAAAATCAAACAGTGGAACCGTCTTCAACAACAGAAGGCACAACAAGACGACGATTAATTACATCAAGAAGATTCTTCTCTTCAACGACAAACAATCCAATATCAAATGAAGAAGAAGAACAAACAACTGAACAAAGAATCGTTGAAGCAAAGAATTATTTTAATTTAGAGAAAGGTGAACGCCCTGAAAGAATTCGCTTTGAATTAGCAGTTGGAAGGAAAATTGATTTTGGATTTAAGCCAACAAAAATTGAAAACAAAACATCGGAAAATGATTCTAGTAAGGTGACAGTAATTACAGGTCCATTAAATAAGTCGCCATTGGTGTCAAGTCGAGATTACAAACAAGGTCATGTTGAAGAAATTCCATTAACGAATATTGAGAAAACTGAAACTGTCACAGTTCAAAGCTTTTCCGATAAATTGGATTTGAGTGAAATTCCATTGAATAAATCTGACATTGAAAGTTTCGTACGTGATGAAGACTTAAGAACTGATTCACTTGCAGAAACAACGACAAGAAAGGCTCGTTTAAGACCAAGTAAAATCGGATTTTTAAAGCGATCTCAAGTTGTAAGCGAAAGCATTGAAGATGTTGTCGAAGAAACAACGAGCAATGCAATTGATAATAATTCGAAACAAGAGTCAACTACAAGTCGATTACGATTCCGTCCAAGTAGGATTGGCTTTGCACAAAGAACCCAAACAGAATCAACAAGCACTGAAACTCAAACACAAACTTCACAAGTTGCTGATAATGAACCTACAAGCAGATTCAGTTTCCGTCCTGGACAAACACGATTCCCTGCAAGAGTAAAAGTAATTAACAAAGAAGCGAGTAACGAAGATATTGACGATGAAAGAATCGAAGAACCATCCACAAGACGTTCTCGTCCACTGCCATCAAGAAGTCGCGCGACACTCCGATCGAGAACAACGACAACTGAAAGTGAAAACTCTTTAGAAAACATTGAAACTTCTACTTCTCGTAAACGACCTTCTGGATTTAGAAGAAGATATTCACAGCAAACTCAAGTAGAAGCAAACAAACTCGATGATTCGAAAACAGAAGAAAGCACAACAAGTAAATTACAAATTCGTCGTCTTATTCCAAACAGGTTTGCACAACAATCTAAGATTAAGGAAGTCAAAATTGAGGATGTCAATGAGTTACAAACTGAAGGTCCGATTGATGAAACAACGCTACGAAGATTACGGTTAAGGCCGAATGATTCAAGGAGATATGATACATACTCGAATAGTTTAGAAGTATCAGATGACGACAACACTGATGAAAATGATAACAACGATCTTGAATCACTTGATTTAGTCACAGAGAAAGAGATTGAAGATGATGGTATCGATTTCACAACTTTGTCATCTCTGACAAAACCAAATGAAGAAGATAAATCAGACGAAAATGAAGACGAACCCAAAGATGAAAGCGAAAGTGTAGACGAAAAAGAAGATGAGAGTGAAGATGAAGATGAAACGACTTTAGATTCTATTGCCGATGACACAACATCAACCACGCGTCGAACTTTAAAGATTAGAAAGCGACCATTGAAAAAAATTGAAGTTTTGGCGACACGACAAACAATAACAGAAGCAACCGATGAAGATTTAAATGATGACAATGAAGAAGTGTTGACAACCACAACTGAAAGTGTTTTAAGAACGAGACCAACAAGACGACGATTAGTGACCAGAAGAAGAATTGCGAATGAAAATCGTTTCGATACGTCAAATAATTTCCTTCAATCTCAATCTCAAACAGAATCGCAGTCTCAATCTGAGGTTGAAGAAGAAAGTATTGAAGTTACTTCAGGTGCATCTGTGCAATCGAGACCGACAAGAAAGCGTGTCATATTTACACGAACAAGACCAAAAATTAATTCTGAAATTGAAAGTGAAGATCAAGGAATTGAACGAATTTCAATACCTTTGAATAATGAAGGAAATGAAGAAACTATTGAAGAAACAAGTGAGAAATTAATTGACAGTGTGAATTTCCGTCGAATTAAAGTATTTAGAACTCGTCCAACGACTGGAAGAATCGCAGATTCTGATTCTGATAGCATCGCTTTACCTAGAAATCCATCACCAAGAACACGTGTCTTTAAACGACCTATACCAACTATTGAAGCAGAAAACTCTGAATCAGAAATCGATGAAGAATCGTCATCCGTTCGACCACGTTTTGGAAGCGGCCAAAGGAAAGCAGAAAATTCTGAATCAGAAATCGAATCGAGAGTTGATGAAGAATCGTCATCAGTTCGACCAAGATTTGGAAGCGGCTCAAGAAAAGCTGAAAATTCCGAATCAGAAATCGAATCGAAAGTTGATGAAGAATCGTCATCCGTTCGACCACGTTTTGGAAGTGGCCAAAAACGTAGAATAATTAAAGTTAATAGAAAAGCAATCTCTTCAGAATCTGACGATGATCCTAGAGAAGAAGTTGCTACAAGCTCAACAAGACCTTCAACAAAAAAACGTATTTACAAAGTTTTACGTACAAAAGCTCCAAAGCTTCTTATTGATCGACCGTTGATTGATGAGAGACCAATCATTCGAAGCGAAGATCGTAATCAGCTTTTAGAGAAGCCAGAGAATGTTCAAGATGAAAATTTCAATGATAACAATAATAATGATGATAACGGTGATAATGATGATGATGATGATGATGATGGTGGTATTGGCGATGAAAATCCAGAAGAACCATCAAGACCTATTTTGAGATATCCTACAAGACCTAATAGCAATATTAATCGTGTTGTGACAATCAAAAGACGGCCAGCATTCAATTTGAATACAAGATCGACGACACTCCATCCAGCATCAACACGTTTCTCAAAAGACGCACTGCCAACTCGTGCCAAACAAGTAACTGTGAGAAGAAAGTTCAAGCCTACAGTTGTAAGTTCCGACACAACTGTTGAAGAAATCGACCAAGAAAAAAGAATTGCACTTGGGGAGAGGAACAAAAAAATATTTTCAAAGGGCTATCGTAAATCCCTTACAACAACCACTGCACCAAACATAACACCATTCAGTACTAATGAAAACACAGAAACAACAGAATTTGACGACGTTGTTGACACAACAGATATTCCTCTTGATAATAATGATGAAAATGTTTTACAGAAGGATGTTACATCAACCAAGCCACGCTTCTCGTTAAGTCGTTTCACCACAACGACAACAACACGACCGACAACTTTACATCACGTTTTCGCAATTGATATTGAAGATGAAGAAGATTCCTCTAAAAACAAAACTGAGATTAAAGAAAACAATGCTGATGAAGTCATTAAGAAGTTACAGAAACTTATTGAAATTAACCGCATTGTCGAAGTTTACTCGAAGGAAGAGAAACTCAAATTACTTAAGAATAAAAAACTCAAATCGATTAAACTTTCAGAGTTGACGGTGGAAAAACCTCCAGTTATCGATAAATTTGGAGAAATTAGTAGAGAAACTATTATTAAGCTTGTAAAAAGTAATTACACAACAACAACAGAAGCAGCAGCGCCAGCAGTTAATGAAACTCGATCGCCTAAAAATATTGTGTTCGCTGAAACGATTTTCCCTGAGCCTGAAATCTCAACGATAACCTTAGAAGGATTGTTTGAACGTGAGAAGAAATCATATGACGTCGACACAGACAAAATTGAAGAGAATTTACCTGAAAAATCTTACGTTTCTTCGAGTGTCTTGCGTGCGCCAATTCCATTATTACGTCCCGAATCAAACGAGACAGATCCCATAATCATAAGTTTAAAGTCACTTGATAAAGTTATTCTTAGCAAAGTTCAGCAGCGCCAAAAAGAAGATAATGAGGAAAATTCTGTAACTGATAATCCTTCAGAAGAGACGACTGTGTTGGATGAAGATAATTAAATATTAAAGATATTTACAAAAAAAAATTTTCTTTCTTTTCTTTACCTTTTTTTTCTTGAAAACGTTTTCTAAGTCTTTATTACTAATTTTGTAAATGCAATGAAAGAATTATAATTAGTGCTGTCTATACTTTCATTGATACTTTTAAAGTTAGTTGTAGTCATAAAGATATTCAAGTTATTTTAACGAGAAATTGTAAAGATAATACTCAACACAAATGACTCAGATACTTACATATATGCATAAATTCGACTATATAGCGAAACATAAAGTGTCGTGTTTAGATAATGCCATATTTTAAAATAAGCTTAATTATTATGTAATATTTCCTACATGTAAATACTCAAAGCAAAAAAAAAAGAAGAAAAATCCACACTTGATATACGTTTATGTTTAATTAACGCATATCAAATCTGTCAACAATTCACTTGACAATTTTTTTGTTGTAAATATTTTTTTTTGTTTATAGAATGTCACGAAAGTATTACTAACATTGTATAAATAAGTTTTATTCAAAGCGACGTAAAAAAAGAAGAATGGCCATAAAAGATTTAAAGGAATATTTAAATATCTAATCTAAGAAATATTAAAAACTTGGATAATTTTTTGACTTTTATTGCACAGATATCAAATCTCTCGTCATTAAGAATCTTTAATGGTTGAAATCTTAAAAAGCTCTTTAAGAACTTGAATGTGAAACAGAAAAGCAAACTTTTGTAGAAAGAACACGTTTATTTGGTAAAGGTACAAATAAAGTTGTGCAAACTTCACAAGCCACTACACAAATCATAAACATGGGTTTTAAATATCAAACTCTTCCACATAAGTTTCAGAATAAGAATGTTCTTGGGTCGCTTTTAACATCCAAACTTTATTAAATGCTTGTGTAATGTACAAGGCAACCAGATGGCACTTTTAATGATGATGCACATATACTGCACGTATGATTATAAAAATTAGTCTTCCATCAGCATGCTCGAATTTTATTCATAAGTTTAATAAGCGTCTGAATCACCAGGTGGATCGTCCAGCTCCCTTATTTCAAAAACGAAATTCTACACGATTCGTGGTAAGAAATCGAAATAGTCTTACTCGATCCACTACAAAATCCACCACTTCAACTTCTCTGTCTCCTGAAACATTGAAACCAACACGTCGAATTGTTTCAAGAAGGAAAATTACAAGAAATCCGAATATAACGAGACGAGTTCTTCAAACAAGAACACAAACAACGACACCTTCAACAACAACAACATTGTCATCAACAAGAGCAGAGATCAATAGTGAACATCTTACAGAAAGTTTAGAAGAAATTTCAAGCATTCTTCCCGCAATCTCTTCAGTTCAGCCCCGAAAAACTACAAAGCATATCGAAACAACAACTCAAGTTTTAGAAAAAGTTCAACCTAATCGTGTGGAACAATTAGAAAATAAATTTGAATCAAATTCATTTGATAAAATATTGAAGCAGCAATACAAGATTAAAGGTTTAGACGTTGATAGCGAAGAAAGTTATGACGATGATGAGAGATTAATTGGCGTTTTAGGTTCACAGGTTTATACAAAATATGTTTATTAGTAATCTCATTGTTAAATCATATTTTATTTACATTTTCAATTTTATCAACAGGTAAAAGTTATCTTGCACTCAATAAGTCACGACCATGAAAGTGTCCGCGTCGAATGTTTAGATGTCGGAAATTATCCACATCCATTAAGCTGTTCGAGATATATCCAATGTGCAGAAATTCGTGGATTTACGGAAGGTTTTATTTTTACGTGCAATCAAGGTTCAACATTTGACCCAATCCAAGGTGCTTGCAGTCAATCGAAACATGGATGTACGAGAAATAATGTTAGAATAACAACTAATTGATAAAATCAAATCACTTAAGATTTTTTCATAAGTAATAATTAGTATGTACTTGGTAAGGTAGAAAGGTAAATTCCTCTTAAAAGCCATGAAAGATATGTATTCTTGTTCATCTATCCAGCTATCATGAAAGTCAAGTAAATTATTGTTTTAAAATAAACGAGATTTATCCATTTACGAGTAGTTTTCAACAGACAATTTCTTTTAAATGTTTTCAAATTTCATTACATTTATAAAACAATAGATGGCGCCTAATAATAAACTGCTTTTGAGTCGTTATATTACTTGTTCGAGCCGCTACATCATTGAGCACCAGAATTGTTGTTGCGGCTGAACAAAAAGTGACGGCTGCTGATCAAATCCTGTGCACCCCCGGACGCAATATATTTTCAGAGCATTGAAATAATAGAAGCGTCATATAAAATTTAAGCGAAATTTGTGTTGAATTAAGTTTATATTCGGCATAAAAACATACGTTGTTGTTAACAAATCGTGTCAGCAATAAGAAAAATAAAAAGTGATAGAAAATAAACGCTTGTAAGCGATTAAAGCTTTTTGAAAAGAAAATGTTTATGGCGAATATTTTAGAGCAGAATAAAGTGTAGTTGAATTTTTTTCTTCCCTGTAAATGTTGAATATTTTTCTTATATGCCCGTACATTAAAATGTGTAAACATTAATAAGATAAATAATTAAATTACAACCATTCGAAAAGAGTGGCAAATTAATAATCAGAAACTTTTATTATATACTAAAATTACAACAGTGTTAGTGTTTTTATAAGAAAGAACCCTTAAGTTAGTTAATTAAAAAAATTATCCCAAATAAAGGAAGAAAATTTTAAGATATGTCGGATCAGCATCGTGGATATAATGATGCAGTCTGGTGGCCTGGTGCAATTACAGCAACCGACCAAAGTAATTTGCATCATCAGCAAATCATTAACCAGCATCATCAGCAGAATCATATGCAACAGCAACCCCAACAGCAGATTCATCAAGTAGTTGTACAACAGCAGTCACAAGCGTTGAATGATTTGAATCGTGCAAATAGCACCACTTCCACAGTAGCAACTCAACAATTATTTTCATATAAAATGGCCAGTAGTTTCCCTACGTCAGGTGTCACAGTATCGACATCAAATACGCCAGCTGCATATGATTATCGTTTAGGAATGGGTTCAATGGTGTCACGACCAGGAGATCCTCAAGGAATGACTGCGGCACCTGGCACTCAATGGTGGTATGCCACAGCTGGACAGAATACATTAGAGAATCTACAGCAACAACAACAGCAGCAGCAGAACCAACATCATCAGCAGCAAGTCACTCAGCAGCAACAGCAGACCCAGCAACAACAACATCAAACTCAAAATATACATAATGTACATTCAACCCCTAACACGGTAAGCATGTTTTTCCCTTTTCACCATTTCATCTCTTTTCCTTTCCTTTTCTTTCTTTTTTCACAAATCAAATGCTTTCTTTTTTCTTCTTCAAAGAAAAAGTAGTCAAAAAGCGAGCCAAAAGAAAAGTTCTTCTCTTTGAACCCACGTGCTTCTTTTGTAACAATTATATTGTTATTATTATATACAAGGCATGCTCTGCTATTCTACCGAACGGAGTGAGACGGAAAAAGAATTATTGTCAATTGTTATGATAAACAAACATACAATTATAGAAAACATGTGTTTATTGATAAATAATATATTACGATTTATGTATGAATGATTCACATGTCAACATTTTTTTGTGATGTGTATTTGTGAATGCGAATCTGCATTCATCAATGAGCTTGCTTTTCTTTCTTTCTTTATATTTTTTTTTCTCTTTAACACATGATGTGTTAACTTTTGGTGGTCGCTAAATAAGATGACTTCTTTCTTGAATTTTTGGCGGTTCATATAAATTTATTTTTCTTAAGGGCCGTCATTTCACCAAAAGAGAAAACATAAAAAGTGTTTCAACGCTTTAAGGTTCGGCCGATGCGCGCGATGCACACATGTATGAGTTTTTGGTCGTTTGTATTGTGTTAATGCCCCTTGAAAATATATATATTTATTTATTTATTTTTTTGAAGAAAAAGAACGATTAAAAAATAAGAAAATGAAGCCACGGGACCGGTTTTACAAAGAATGAACACAACAAAAAAAAATCGACTAAACATCTTTTGAAACAAAAAAAAATTGAGCGTATGAAGAAACAAAGGGAACAAGACTTAAAAAAAATATTTTCATTACTCTTTTATGATGTAAAACTATATTTTGAATTGGTGTAATTAATCATTCGGCTCGCATTTGACCAATTTTTCTTTGTGTGTTTGCTCTTGCTGATATTCTATACATACGCATAACATCAAGCTACTAATTCATTACTCATTTTCTTTCTTTCATACACGTTTAGAATCAAACCCACATACAGAATGCAAATCAGAATAATCAAATAGCGGCAAAGATGGGACGAGGTAAGGGGGGTGCTGATGCAAAACCTCGAGGTCGCATGACAGCTTATGCCTTCTTCGTGCAGACATGTCGCGAGGAGCATAAAAAGAAGCATCCGGAAGAATCGGTCATCTTTGCTGAATTCTCACGAAAATGTGCAGAAAGGTGGAAGGTAAGGCGATTGAACAGTTGTAATAAAAATTCCTCAGTAGATCTTAGTACATATGCAAGAGGCAGCACGACTTTTAAGATCAAGATGGATCTCATGTCTTTGTCTTTGTCTGAGTTCGCGGTTTCCCAAAACAGGTTTTCCATACACATAAAAACTATATAAACCCCCTTAGGTGTACAATGAGAGGCTATAGATTTTTAATTAACGGCTTCAGACAAAGAAGTTCAAGAATAATGAATTTATAACAGAAAATTATGTTCTTGAAAATTTCAACAAATCAAAACTTCATTAAAATTTCATTAAGGTCTCAAAAATTAAGTTGTGACACTTTACAGATATTCTTTTTCTTTCTTCATTTTTGGACACATATATTTTCTTCCTTCCTCGTTTCGAAAAATATATTGCATGCATATTTCACTTTTATATACATTATTGCGTTTGCGCTGAAACTTTTACATATATGGAAAGGAAAGAAAAAAAAATATCGAGACAGGGTGTTGATGAAGACAACAAAAATAATTCCTCAAGTTCATATTTTTGGCTATTTTCATGCCTCGTCGAATTCACTCAAAATTTTCTGCATTTTTTTTCAACATGAAAATTTTTATCTTCAGCATAAAATCGCACCGAGTGGAAGAACAAAAATAATTTCGAAGCTTCAACGTTTCCTTAAAAAATCGATCGCGAGGAAGTTTTATGTATGCTTTTTATATGATAAAGTTTCTTTATATAGAAGTAATTGTTCTTGTATGCGTAAGTTTTCCCATGGCTTCGTCAATTCAGATAATGACCTGGAAGTTTTAAAGCTGATCAATTTCTTTCTTATTAAAAGAATTCGCTGGAATGACCTTTTATTAATTTAAACTTTCTTTTTAATAGTATGTTGTGTTACAATGTTTCTGTCTTTAATTTACTTTCTTTACAACTTTTTTTTTTGATATATTCAGAAAACCAGTGGTTGTAAAACGTTTCTCGTAAACTACTTCTGAAAAACTTCAGGCATAAATGACATCAATTTTTTATTTCATGTCTTTTATAAGAGTCATGACTGTTTAATGTGGCTTTAAATAGACATTTCTAATTAAATCTGATTTAAATACCTACATGTAATAAGTATTCATAAATAGTTTAACGTTTTCTAATAAAGTTTAAGAATCTTTCTTTTCTTATGAAAGAAAGTATAAATGACAATATTATTCTACCCACTGAATAATTTCAGACGATGTTGGATAAGGAAAAGAAGCGCTTTCATGAGATGGCTGAGAAAGACAAACAACGATATGATATGGAAATGTCAAACTATGTTCCACCAAAAGGTGTAGTTGTTGGTCGTGGAAAGAAACGAAAGCATGTCAAAGATCCAAATGCACCAAAGCGTTCGCTTTCAGCATTCTTTTGGTTTTGTCATGATGAAAGATCTAAAGTAAAAGCGCTTAATCCTGAGTATGGTGTTGGAGATATCGCAAAAGAACTTGGAAGAAAATGGTCAGATTGTGTTCCTGAAGTCAAAGGAAAGTACGAGGCTATGGCAGATAAAGATAAACAAAGATATGAACGTGTAAGTATTCATATTCTTCTTAAGTGACAGACACATAACTTATTAATTATAATATTATGTTTTAGGAAATGACCGAATATAAATTGAAATGTAGAAATATTCAACAAGGCATTGTGACGCCCACAACACCTGTAAATCATATACAACAACAACAGCAGCAGCAGCAGCAGCAGCTTCAACAACAGCAGCAAGTTACTCAGCAACAGCAGCAGCAACAACAACAGTTGCAGGATGAAGATTCAGAGGAAGATGACGATGGTGATGGCGAAGATTAGAGATGAGTTTTCTTTCTGAGATTATAAAAGGTAAAGAAGCAACCTTTGACATTATATTGACATTAAGAAATAAGGTGAAGATTATAAAAATCTTTTAAGTATGAAAATAAGATTAGGAAAATCCACTTTTTTTAATTATTTTGTCTCTTGTAAAAGTCTTTAATTTCTCGGTCTTTGTTAGAAGAAGCCTCAACTATTTTAGGATACTTTTAAAGGCAATATAATATGATGATAATGAAGAGGATTCACATGAGGGAAATAAATTTATAAGTTTAGATTCCTCGAAATGACAAGAAATTTGGAAAAATTTCTCTCAAGTAACTAAATGCATGAAGACTTCTTTCCCGACATAATTAATAAACGCGTGAAATTATCCTTACGACAGTTAACAAATATTTATCTGTTTCATAAATATTTATACGTGAAATTTTCTTCAAAAAATTCAAAAAGAAGAAGAAAAAATTAAATAATTAAAATAAAGTTCTGTGTTGGGAATTTTGTCTTCCTCGCGTTGACTGTGAATCTGGTAGAAGAAAGTTAATTAAATGCTCGGTTTTAAACCGCTACAGTACAAAAACAATGGCAAATTTTTTGTTTTGTTAATTTTGATTCTAAATTGATTCATTTTTCTTTCACTTTTTAATTTTAAGTTCATTTTCGATCCATTTTTTATGCTCATTTCTATGTACCACTTTTATTTATTTTCTATGTAGATATAAAGAAATACTTTTTGAAGTATCTATAGAGATTTGAAAGTGACGATTTAGTTTGACGATATATTTTCATTTCCTATAAATTTGTTAAAAGCTTTGATTTTCGAGAGACAACATGAAAACGTTTGTAGAAGATGTAAATATGCTTATGATGCATAGCAAATCAATTACTCAAAAAGAAAAAAAATCAATCGATTATAATATCAAATACGATTTCATCACACGTGAAAACACAATAGCATCACATTTAGTAGATATTTAGTTCCAAATTGGAACTTCCAATCTCGGTTCATAAAAACATAAATTTATGTTGCATTTTCTAATTTCTTTTAATTTCAAATCGAAAATCGATCTAAAAAAATTGAAACTTAAATCAGAAAACAAAGAAAAATTATAATTCGCGGTAAGAAAACGTATCTCGAGTAGAATTCATAATAAATATTGCAGCCATCTTCCATTTAGATTAAATAGCTGCTCGAGAATATTGAAAAATTTTACAATGAGAGATCATTGCTTAGAAAAAGAAGAAAAAAATTCAAAACCCAACAGTTCAATTATTTTTATGATTGTTTTTCTTTGAAAAGACTAGAATGATCATTTTTAAAGTGATTTTTTGCGAAATGCATTAATTATTGAGCATAAACAGTAAGAAATGTTATGAAGAAACGGAACGAAATGGTCTCAACATTGCTGATATGAGAGAATCTTTATTGTTGCCATGATTTTTTAAATTTTTTTAGTTCGAAGGTGTAAATTCGTATCTAAGTTTAATTTTCTTAAGAAAGAATTAAAGAAAAACAATAAAAACTGTGCTTTGCAAAATGATTTCTCATGCAAATAATTAATTGGTTTAAGTAATGATGAAAGAAAAAATTAACTTTTTTTTTCACAAAAGAATATTTCAAAATGTGAAAGGAAAAATGAATGAAAGTCCTTTAAAAATCTTTATAAATATAACACATTAAGATGAATTATGTGCATAAAAGAATTATTTTACGCAAAATGAATCATTTTTTATTATCTAAACTCTATCTAGCAAGAAAAATGGAGCGCATTGTGTGAAGACAAAATTCACTATAAAAAGCAGCGTGAAATTGTCAAACTGCGGAAATCATTTTAATCAGAAAGCTCATTTCTTAATAAAAACATGCTTTTGTCTGTTTCAACTAGTAATCGGACATTTCTTTTTCAAAAAAATAATTAAATATATAAAAGATATCCGCGGTGAGACCACGCTGATGAAAAGTATTATTTTCTTCCAAATGTGAAGCTATCCTACTTATGGTTGAATCTGTACATACTAAAATGCAAACTATATTTCATTTTTATTCTTCTCCCATAATCTTAATTTTATTTTATTCCTTTTTTTTGAATATTAAATATGTTTTGTAAGACTTTGAAATGAGATTAAGCATTAGATTGTAACGAAAGTTTGTTTTGTAAAAAAAATAAAATAGAAACAATAAAATAAATTTCAGAAAAAAAAGAAAATTTTATTCTCTTTAAATTGTCCATTTTGCTTTAAAACATTTTTCATTTACCCAGCCAATATACAATGAATACATAAAATATAATAAGAAAATGTCAATCATTTCATAAATTTGATTTCATAAAAGGTTTCAAATACAAATGGAATGATTTGTTTACATCTTCCTGATTCAAAGGTGAACTTTTAGCAGCATCAAGTAAACGTTCATAAACATTGCCATCGTAAGCACCGAGAGTTGATCCCAGAACTGGATCAGGAATATCGAATCCATCGACTATTCCAATTGCACTTGATTTGAATTTCTTTAGAGCCGATTCTAATCTTCCCTGTAATGTTTCGATATCGATTGACTTTAAGTTAACAAACTGTAAGCAAATGAAGAAAAGTTAAATGTTGAACTGAAGCATTTTAAATAAATATTCTTATGTATATTTACTTGCAACAAATGACCCAAAGATCTGATAGCGAGGTCAACTGCGTACAACTCCAAAACATCTCTAAACACGACAGCAAGAGCTGGAGAAGAATGTTTCGCCGCATTTTCCAATACCTCAATTGCTGAATGTAGAAGAAAAGCTTGGCAATGAACTTCAGCTGCAGCTGATAATTCTATGCCAGTTTGATTTGCTGCTTCTTCAGCCGAACAAAACTTTTTTCTTGCCTCTAAATGCTTATGCGCTAAAGCTATTTTATGAGCTGCTGTAGATTGCAAAGCTCGAAGGATTCCTTTAGGTGAACCGTCCCAATTATCACGCTGATTGAGGTTGTTCGTATAATTTTTTAAGTAAGCAACAGTCGGCGTCAATTTCTCACCATTCAGAGCTTGATTCCATGCTTTGATCAAATATCTTGCAGTTTGAAGAAACAAAACCGTATTTTCACCCTCATACGTTTGTGCTGCAGTAACGCTTCCATAAATATCGTTAAAGCCAGAAGAATTCAAATAACCATGACCACCACAAGCCAAACGACATGTTTGAACTGCTTGTGTTGCTTCATTTGTGCAGACAGCTTTCAAGCAACAAGCGAGTGCGTGGAGTTCCGGAAGTCTCTCCAAATCACCTTTATCAAGCTCATGCGTGACTTGATTGTACATTTCCCATAGTAACTCAGCAGTTATCTTGAAAACAATCACTTTTGCTATTGCTGGAAATATTTTCATTTGTTGTGTGACATGTTCAATAATTTTCGGTTCAGGTTGGTTTGGATCGATTGGGCTTTGTCGTCGAACTGTGGAATATCTCATAGCAATTGTTACAGCTTTCGATAAGTAAGCTGCCATGTCTTTCAATATCACAACCCTTACAAACATCATTGTGCCATAAGTTAACACAGAACTTTTCGGTTTGATGAATTCTCCGTTTTCAAGAACTTTTGCATTTTTCATTAACATGTTATGAAGTGGAATTCGAACATTATTGAATCCAAGGAAACCATTATTGACAGTGTTCATGCCAACTTTATTTCCAATTTCTCCGATCGTAATTCCTGGCAATGGTTGATGTGTTTCTTCATCTCTCAGTTGCACAATAAATGGTTGAATACCATGATGTTGTCCTAATGAATAAAGTTGTGCTATGACAATTGCGTAGTTTGCTGTATGTCCAAGACCTCCAGGCCACCACTTATCATTACCAAGTTCAAGCATTAAAAATTAAATCAAACATTCAAACTTTTCATCTCATTTTACCTTATAAGCTGTTATTGTTGGAGAATTGATAATGAATTCTTTTGTTTTGGGATCATATGTGGCTGTTGTTTCGAGGCCTCTAATGAACGTCCCATGTCCTAACGAAGTTTATAGAAGAATTGGAAATTTCCCTTCAACAATGATTGCTAGTCGAAAACTGACAAGTGACAGAAAAATTAATATAATTAATTATTTACCCATCTCAGTTTGCGCATACGTTCCGATAACATTACAGTTCCATGCTTTTGATATCCATTCAGCTTGTTGATCGCCTGTTCCATGGTTCATTAAAGCCGGTAAAAACATGACGTAATGTACACCTTCATTAAATGTTATGTTAATGATGCAATTATTTCAAATTATTTGCTTGAAACTTACTCATTGGATTTCCTTCACGCAACAAACTTGTCCCGAGCATGCCACCAAGCAAAGCCCTATAAATGAATATTTCCAGAAATTCTCGTCTATTTCGTCATCATTCAAAAGATTTTGCACTTACATGTAAATCTCAACTCCATCCCGACCTTGAGCTTGAAGGTCTCTGATCTTTTTAAAAACAAGTGTGGACTTACGAATTGCTTCTTCATATTTTTCTTTGTGGCTTAAATAACTTATTGAAACTTTGTCTTGGAGTTCGGGATCCGACAAGAAGAAATTTTCTGTTGAGTAATGAATTTGAAGTTTCAATGAAAGAAAAAACACAAAAACAAACACAACCAAAGCACTTCAAAATCATTGCTTAATTTACCAAGAAATCTCTTTTCTTCAACTTTATCTGCTCCGCCATAATACCAATTGGTAAACTCTTCAATATTGAATTTGACTTTCTCTCTTTCTTCTTTAATATCTTTGTTAATTTTTGATAAAGCCGTCATGATTTCTACTATAAAATCAAAGTCTCTTTGTTCTAAATACTTTTATTGATAAGGTTAAGGAATTTGACAAAAAGCGATAACTCTCTGTGAACTTTGTAACAATAATCTTTTTATTTCTGCTTTTCTGTAAGCTTTGTATTTCTCCACTTCTCACTGGTGTTTGTTTAATTTTTCTAATAATTGGTCAACGTTTAAAACTTCATAATACAAAGTACAAATTGTTTTATTTGACTTATTTCTGTTTTATCACCGATTCAACTTTATTCTGCAGTTAATTATTTGTTTCCTGGTGTAATTATATAATATATGGTAGCAAAAATTAAATTGCTTCTCCAGTAATGAGAGAAGAAACAAAACTATGTCAATGTTTACAAAAATCTCTAATGAATGACTTTAGCATTTTAGCATAAAATTTAGCATGCTTTAAAGCTTTCTTTTTGCGATGTAAACTTTTAAGTTTATGATTTTGAAAAGTTTTATCTTATATAAATTTGCTGAAACATTAGACATTTATGATGTTAATCAAACAAATTTCAAAGATTTCTTTTCTACATTTTTATTTTTAACTTATATTATGCATCTAATTAATTTCTTGAGCAATATTCTTTAATTCATTATGTCGCTCTTTATATGATTGAAGAACAAGTTCCAGCTGAGGTTTCTTAGGAGAATGGACATTGACATACGAGTTTTGAATGAATGCGAAACAGAGTTCATCAATTTGCAAATCTTCGTTTGTCTTCTGTATCTTGTTTTCGTCGAGTTTTGATAGCATCGCATCTACAGTTCTATTGATCAAAAGCTCAATTTCATCAATTTCTTGGAGTTTCTCCAATATGCTGGTGTCGGCTTCGATTCCTTTAATTTTAAACAATAGACAAATTAATTCGACTCCGTTTTTAAGGAAATCGTTTCTTATCATGTCGATAAGAAGATCATCAATAATTTTGTGCCATGCAAGAAAGAATGCCATTGGTCCAAAGTGTCTGGTTGATCGAAGACTATCAAATTTCAAATTCTCGTTTACATGTTGATAAACTTTTGAAGATATTTCATGAAACTTCGCCTCAAATGGTTCAAAATGCAAGCAAAGATTGTCAAGAATAAATGTATATTCCCCTTCTTCTAGAATTCGATTGAGGTTGTCAGGTTCAAACATTCTTGGTTCACTCAATTTACGTCCCGGCATTGGATTGTAAATTTGAGAAACTCGCTTACGAACTTCAAATGGCGCTTCGACAAGTTTTCCATCGAGATGCCGAATAACAACTGTACGCTCTAAATTATTTAGAGCAAAAGTAACATCAGTGAAGACTAATGGCGATTTCGCATAGCCAGCAATTGCTGGATCATCAGAAAGGACTTTTAAATTTTCCTTTAAAACTTCTACTACTGGAGGCATTTGAAGTAATCTTTGTGCATCTTTGAATTTCCTCCTTACTTCACTGTCTATTTGGTTATCAGTTAAGAATCTTAAAATAAAATTAGCTTTATAAACATTCTCAAATTTAGATGTAAATATCAAAATTCTTACTTGTATTCAACATTGTTATTTGGAGTTGCACGTTTGTGAAAGATCTTTTCAATTTCGATCCTAGTGATTGATTTTAAAAGCTTTTGAATCTCTGGATTGAAGAAATATCTTGATGGATCTTTCTCTAGATGTTCGGAATATTTTTATTATTGCAAAAATATAACCTTTGTTAAAAAATTATTAAAAACAAACCATAAACAAAATAATTTGATGATGTGCTTGCGAATTTAATGGATACTGGATAGATAAACTTTTTAGCTGTTTGACTTGATCTGGTAAGTCTTCCTAAGTTTATAGAAAATGCCATTTTTGACGATCAGAATAAAGTTCCGATTTTGCTTTTTAACTTAGAAAGGGAGAAGAATTTGTGTATCATTTGAAGAGGTTACAACAGGCAATTTTTGTGTATCATTTGAACAGATTGCTACCTGTATAAACCAAAATCATAAAATTAATAATTTGAGAATAATAAAGCTTGATAATGGCATCAGAAAGGCACAGAGAAGTGATACAACGACAGATACATCAGGATTGGGCTAACCGTGAATACATTGAAGTTATTGCAAATTCGATAAAGAAAATTACGGCTTTCTTAAACTCATTTGGTAAATATTCGAGTTGACATAAAATTTAATGAATTCAATAAATGGAAATGTTTTTCCAATTTTCAGACATGTCGTGTCGCTCCAGGTTAGCAGTATTAAATGAAAAATTGACATCTTTGGAACGAAGAATCGACTACTTAGAAGCATGTATTAATAAGGATTCAGATCATGTTCGACCATAAAAATTCTTCCAGAATCCGCAAACAGATTTAGAATTCGATCAATTTAATTTTATTATTCCAATTTAATTTCTATAATTTTAAGGATTTTATTCTTCTTCAAAAGCTTGTGCAAACATAATTCTACAATTTTAAAATAAAGGAAATTATCTTTGTAAGATGTAAACATAATTTGAGTTTTAAGTAAGATATTATGATTCACATTGTTTCAGCAGACGATAAAGGGCAGCAGCTTCCCGTATTCTGCTAAATTCAACACAGAATGCTTCCACCTCAATAAATAAATCCTTCAGATTGATAATCTTCTTGTTTCGAATTAGACTTTGAAGAAAAACGCAGACAAGTCGCACCTTAAAAAAATTCGTTAGTCAAAATCAATTAAAAATATTTGTGGTTGCAACTCACTAAACGATTTTGCATGTATTTATCTTGAATATTCTCGCAAGTGCTTATGCAATTGGAAATGTAAAGATGAATGAATTCAGAAGGTAAGTCCACACATGATGTCAATCTATTGACAACTTCCATTGAGTGCAGCGACATTTCCATATTAACCAATGCACTTAAATATTCGGTGATTTGTGATGAATTCATAAGCATCAAAAGAATTTTTATAGCAATCAGAGGATTGTTTTCAACAATGTCAGGAAGTTTCTCTGGAGTCAATCCAATATGATGAACAAGTTCTGAATCCTTTTCCAATTCATTCTCTAAAACTTTTTGATCTTGCAAACTCAGAGCTTGTTTAAATGCATTGGCAACGAGCTTCTTAGCTTCTGTTTCTGGAGTCTGTGTTTCACCAATATTCATATCAAACACTGGTTTGTGACAAACTGGATCTGTAATATCAAACCAAACGAGTTCATCTTCACATGGAAGCAAAGGTGGAGCAATGGTCATGAATTGAGGCCCAAAAACACTCTTCAAAGGTGTATCACGTCTAAAGAGTCCTTCCATAAGCTCACGAATAGCAGAATCAGATAAAGAATGGCTGTAATGAAATTTTCATTATATTAAAATTAACAACATGCATTTAGGGCATTATATTGCTGATTGACTTACATTGGAGATGGAATAACATTCATGACATTACTCTTCGTACTGGTAGGAAGTTCTCTTTCCTTTTCAGTACAAATCCTTCTGACTTGAGATAAATCTATGTTAGGAATTGGAACCAATTCTGTCTGCTTAATATGATGTGGTGTTTGTTTTGACAGCTGTTTGAATAAAATGTTAAGTTTTTATTGAAATTAACTGGTTCAATTATACTTACATCTTTTGTTCCACTTGCCAATAATTGAATGATGAAATTTCTCTCTACTGTATTTAACTTACAATCTTTTCCTTCTACCAGAGAGAAAAGAAAGTATTGAAAAGGTGAATCCTTCGGGGAAGCATCCGGTTCATTATCATTTCTGAATATATCGTACAGCACATAATACGCTACGAGCCGATTTGTTGTTTCCGGCAAATCATTGCTTTTAAGCAAAAGACTCAACAATGTTCCGACACTCAAATAATCATTCCGATTAAACTTTTTTTGAACGTGTGATGATATCGCTTCAAAGCTTTGATGATCTATTGATTTTTCCGACAGGAGATTATGAAGGAAAAGAAAATCTGCTAGAATTGGAAGCCGATGCATGATTTCAAACAATTTATGTAGATAAATAAATTTGAAGTTTTGCTCGTTTTCACCTCTTACACTCACACTTTCAAGCAAACTCATTTCCCCTCAATTTATAAATTCACCAATTCACCATGTAAACAAACCGTAGTTTCATACCCTTTAAATATCACTTGAAAATTCCAAGCAGTTTTCAAAAGAAATGGATGAAATTAAGATTGAGCTGTCAGATGAAGTGCAAAAAGCGATTGAACAAGTGCTTCAAAGCGAGGACCCATTGGATAAATCGGATTTCAATGCAACAGAGTACATAAATCGTTTATTTCCAAATGAAATCGCTTTGAACGGAATTGATGACATCATATCGCAAATGGAAATTGAAGTTCAAGTTATTGACGATAACATAAGAAGTGTAGTTAGAGGAGTTTCTACTTCAGGTACTGAAGGGAAACAGGCTCTTGATGAAGCAAAAAAGACAATTACACAATTGTTTTCTCAGATCGGAGATATTAAAAGTAGAGCAGAAGTAACCGAGGAAATTGTTAAAAATATCACAAGCGACATTAAACAATTAGATTGCGCGAAAAAAAATTTAACATCAGCTATCACTACTTTAAATCATCTACATATGCTCGTTGATGGAGTTGATAAGTTGAAAGTACTAGCTGAGAAGAGACTTTATGGAGAAATTTCGAATCCTCTGCAAGCAATCACAGAAGTCAACGAACATTTCACTCAATACAATGAAATACCGCAAATAAAAGAGCTATCAAGTAGTGTAGCAGAAATCCACAAGACTCTTTCAACACAGATTACAGAAGATTTCAAAAATACCTTCAGTTTATCTCCAAGTGCTAATAAAATGAGTCTTGCGAAGCTTAAAGATGCTTGTTTAGTGATATCCGTTCTTGATGGAAAGGTTCGACGCGAACTTTTAAAATGGTTCATTAGTAAGTCTTTCTTTTCTTTCCAATAATCACTTAATTACCTTTAAATTCTTTTCATTAAAAAGATATTCAACTTCAAGAATATATTCAATTATTCCATGAGAATCAAGACATTTCATGGCTGGATAAAATTGATAAGCGATATGCCTGGATTAAGCGACATCTTCTTGACTTCGAAGACAAATATGGGTCAGTTTTCCCAGACAATTGGGAGGTTTCTGAACGGATTGTTGTTGAGTTTTGCAATATTACAAGATCAGAACTTAGCAAAATTATGTCTCGAAGACGAACAGAAATTGATGTGAAACTTTTGCTTTACGCTATCAACAAAACATCACAATTTGAAGAGTTACTTGGAAAAAGATTTAGTGGATGCACTCTTAACGAATCTGTGAGTAATAAACAAGCAAATGTTCATGAGAAAAGAGCAACGTTAGTTGATGGCGATAAAAATAATCAAACTGAAAATGTTGAGAATGCAGAAGATGAAGTTGTTCTGTCTTTCATGACAACACCTTTTCGAAATCTCATTGGAGAATGTTTCAAACCGTACTTGGACATTTACACTGACAGTATTGATAGAAATCTCAATGATTTAATCGAAAAATTTGTGCAAGTTTCAAAGCAACAATCAGTGGCTGCTTCACTTGAAAGTTGCGCAGAACTTTTTATTTTCTATAAGAAGAGTCTCGTGCAATGCACTCAACTAAGTAACGGTAAGACAATGTTTGACCTTGTCTTAGTATACAAAAAATATTTGAGGGAATATGCAATAAAAATTCTTGAGAATCAAACACCAAAAGTGTCAATCACAACAACAAATGCAACCATCAGCAACAGCATGTCGTTACTAAAACAAAAAGACTTTCAAAACTTACAAAGTGCAGCAAATCAAGTCATTCATAGTTTTCTTAAAGAAGGTGAAATTCCACGTTACACTAAAGACGAAAGGATTCTGATTTGTAAGATTCTCACAACATCAGAATATTGTCTTGAAACAATTCAACAATTGGAAGAGAAATTAAAAGAAAAAATTGATCCAACTTTTGCTAACAATGTTGATTTGTCAGACGAGAAAGACGTTTTTCATCGAGTTATGGGACATTGCATTCAACTTCTTGTGCAAGATCTTGAGAATCTTTGTGAATCAGCTTTAGTTGTCATGTCAAAGGTTTGAATTTCTCGATTATCAAAAAATTTCTTATTTTATTTTTCCCTTTTTTTCGTTAGATTCAATGGCAGAATATAAGCAATGTTGGTGATCAAAGCCCTTATATCAACACAATCATTTCTCATTTCAAACAGACCATTCCAAATATTCGTGATAATTTATCTTCAAGTCGAAAGTATTACACACAATTCTGCAACAAGTTTATCAGTTCATTCATTCCAAAATTCATAAATAATTTATACAAGTGTCGACCAACAAATGCTGAAGGTGTTGGGAATATTATGGGATGTGAACAGTTGTTATTAGACACTCACAGTTTGAAGACAGTTTTACTTGAATTGCCAACCATAGATTCACAAGTCAACAGAAAAGCTCCAGCTAGCTGTGCCAAGACAGTCATTAAAGGAATGACCAAAGCTGAAATGATTATTAAAATTGTCATGGCAAATATAAATCCACATGCACTTTTTATTGAACAATATTTGAAGTTACTTCCCGACAATACTCTCGCCGAGTTTCACAAAATATGCGACATGAAAGGCGTTAAAAGAGCTGATCAAGCACAACTAATCGATTTATATAAGAAAATGGCACCTGAAAGTCAAAACGAAGCTGAAATAGATCCAACAAATGAAACAACTGATGACAAAGGACGAATAAAAAAGCTGGAGAATCTTATCAAAAAACGATTGCCTAACTAGATAGTAACTTTTATTTAATTAAGACAAATAATTATAGAATCAAAATAAATTTTAATCGTGCAATAATAAACTTTGTTTCACTAGAATTCCACTCAGTGCTTTTGCCAGCAATTTCATTCTTATTGAGTCACTAAAGGATTGTTTGTTATGTGACTTCTATCTCTGAAGAGTCGGAACTATCCTCATCAATATTCCAAATTTTCTCAAATATCTGTTGACATAATAAATCATCATTGCAAGTAGACTCAGCATCTTGAACTGTAATATCTTTGCTTAGTATCTTTTTAAAATTTGTAAATATATTCGGTTGATCATGAGAAACGACAACTGATTGGGTGCTTGTAAACTGCAAATTCTTGAAATCATCTTCTGATATTTCATCGTCAATTTCGTCAATCTCATTCTCATCGGCCGGTTCAAAGTTTTCTAGATCAGACTTTTCCTCATCTTCATCCGTTTCGATATTTTGTGGTTGCTGTTGTCCATTTGAAGTTGCAAAAATTGGCTTTTCAAGCGTAACAAGTGGGCTTGTAGAATTCTCTCCTGTTTCGTTGCCATCAGCCTCGATCAACTGATTTTCATCGGCCGGTTCAAAGTTTTCTAGATCAGAATCTTCCTCGTCTTCAGCCGTTTCGATATTTTGTGGTTGCTGTTGTCCATTTGAAGTTGCAAAAATTGGCTTTTCAAGCGTAACAAGTGGACATGTAGAATTCTCTCCTGTTTCTTCATCATCAGCCTCGATCAACTGATTTTTATCAGCCGGTTCAAAGTTCTCTAGATCAGAATCTTCCTCATCTTCAGCCGTTTCGATATTTTGTGGTTGCTGTTGTCCAATTGTAATTGCAAAAATTGGCTTTTCAAGCGTAACAAGTGGACTTGTAGAATTCTCTCCTGTTTCGTCATCAACAGCCTCGATCAGCTCCTTTTCATCGGCCGGTTCAAAGTTCTCTAGATCAGAATCTTCCTCATCTTCAGCCGTTTCGATATTTTGTGGTTGCTGTTGTTCATTTGTATTTGCAAGAACTGGTTGTTCAAGCGTAACAAGTGGGCTTGTAGAATTCTCTCCGGTTTCGTCATCATCAGCCTCGATCAGCTCATTTTTATCAGCCGGTTCAAAGTTCTCTAGATCAGAATCTTCCTCATCTTCAGCCGTTTCGATATTTTGTGGTTGCTGTTGTTCATTTGTATTTGCAAGAACTGGTTGTTCAAGCGTAACAAGTGGGCTTGTAGAATTCTCTCCGGTTTCGTCATCATCAGCCTCGATCAGCTCATTTTCATCAGCCGGTTCAAAGTTCTCTAGATCAGAATCTTCCTCATCTTCAGTCGTTTCAATATTTTGTGGTTGCTGTTGTCCAATTGTAGTTGCAACAATTGGCTTTTCAAGCGTAACGAGTGGGCTTTTAGAATTCTCTCCTGTTTCGCCATCATCAGCCTCAAATTGCTTATTCTCATCGATAGACTTAATTGGCAGATCTTCAAGGTGTTTATCTTTTTCTTCTACCTTCGCAGAATCAAAACTTTTAAAATTTTGATCAGTTTCAGATGTCAATTTTGGTGGTTCTTGTTGTTGGCAAGATAGATTAGCAGTGACTGATTTTGTGCTTGCAATTTTTGATTCTCTGAAATCATTTTCTGTTATGTCCTTCTCTTTTTCACAATTATTTTCTTCATTTGGTAGCTTATCTTGTTGCTGAGAAGAAGGCACGATGACAAATTGTATACTTGTAAATTTCATCTCTATAGATTCATTTTGTGATAAATTTTCTTCCTCTTTATCCTCCTGATTCACTTCTACAGGCTCTAGATTTTCAACATTAGAATGCTGAACAATTTCAGCTGCTAGTCTGGGTAGTTTTTGGGGTTTCGGATAATCATCAGTAGCATCAAATGGCAGACTTCTGACAGTTGCATCTCTTACTGTGCTATTTTTAACAACATCCATGGAACTTTCAATATTTCTAGAATTTGTAGTTTCAGATCCTAGTAGATCTAATAGAACTTGCAGTTCCTTAAAGGTACATTCTGTTTCCACATGCTCTTCATTCTCATGAAACTTCTTGATAACCGAATCATTATGGCTGTCATTACTGTAATCTGGACTACTAACAATAGATGAAACTCCATCATATTCTATAATGCTTTCGCTATCAAATGAAGCAGGAGAGTGAGGAATATTATCGGATAATTGTGTTGACTTTAAATTAAAAGTTGAAAACGGATCTTGACTTTCTGTTTTAATACAATGCGTAGAAATGTTAGGATCTGATAGAGCAATGAATTCGAAACTAATATGATTATCCTCAATTTGATTGAAATTCTCTTTAAAATTGGCTCCATTTTGATTAATTTCTGTTTTCATCTCAAAATTATCATCATTTTCATCATTAAATGTTTGCCAGTAGAGACTTAAATTTGTTCTCTTTGGACTTAAACTATTCACGAATGCTTTTTTGATCTTTTTTATTGTAGATGGACCAACTAACCCGTAATTATTATCAGAAAGCGATGGGTAAATTTCTTTAAAGAAGAACTCTTTTATTTGCAATGGAGTAGCTTCAAAATAATTTTCCTACAAAAGAAGTAGATAAACAAAAAAAATGTAAACAAACGTTTTAAAACTTTTATTAAGCATATCTACCGTTACTGCTTTAGAGACTTCATTCCAAAATACATCATCAATTTCCTTTTTTATTTTCATACGAATGACGATTTCATTCAGGACAATTTTTTTATATTTTGAAGTAAAAAAGATTGGCTGTAGAGGTTTCGACATTTTTTTAAGTTGTTTGTACGTTTGCAATTTTTTTTTTTGATTGAGGGGAAATGAGGTGAAAATGCAACTGTGGTGAATTTGAGGGAACTGTAAGAATCGTGCAGTTTATCTACCTACATCGTTCTTGACATATAGGTAAATAAGGTTGTCTACATGAATGAAAAACTCATTTAAAAATATTTTCTGACGAATTAAATTAAACATATAAAATCTGTATCGTAAATTTCTTCAACTTTCAATAAAAAAATTTCCATTTTATTGCATGTTTTCTTCAACACACCATCACACGTTTTAGAATCATTGAAAAATGATCTTTCCTTATCTTTTATCGCCTTCAACTCATTAAAAAGCGTTTCGTTCTCCAATTTAAGTCTTTTTTCTTCTCTCATTATTTTAGCGTAAAAATTTACTATTGAGAATGCAAGCAAAAATACTAAAATTGAATATAACGATTTATAGCTATTTTCACTCATGATGCTAATAAGCCAGAAAAAATTAAACTGAAACGTTTCCCTCAAAAAAGAAAATGTCATTACAAATTGTATAAATTATGAATTCTCAACGAAAGCATTCTTACATGTGACATGTTTCAAAGCTCAAAGTTTATGAGTATAAAATATTTAAAATGATTTAACCATGAGAAAAGACAGCATGGTAAATTGACACAAAAATGTTCTTTGGGAGAGTGGTTAGTCTATAATTAATTAATTGTACCTTCCCGATATCCACCTACTGTTTTAATTTCTTATAATGTAATAAAGTAAGGTCAATGTAAAAGTCATGGATAAGAAAAGGTATTTTATATAACTAACGTAAATAAAAATTAATGTGACCTATAATATGAGTAAGAAAAAAAAACCTGACTTTAATTGGACTAAATTCGCTTTTAAACTTAAAGTTTTCAAACATTTAGTAAATTTTAATTTATCTGAGTTCATTTTTAACGAACATTCACGATTTAAATATTTGAAATCGAAAAACTTTTACTCGCCCTTTGCTTGGAATTATTTCGTCGATAGTCGAATATTTACAAAACAACAATTTTCTCTCTCATTATTTTTAGTTTCATAGCACTTTTCCTTAATTTATCATCCAGTTTTAATTATTATTGTGTTTATTTGTGATTTCCAAATTGGATTAAATCAAAGGTATGATATTATTTTGAAGTTTTTATTGAAAATTTAATTAAAATGTAATCAAGTCTCAAGAAAGCGCCAAAATCTTGTGAGAAGAAGAAGAAGAAGAAAAACTGTTATTGATTTTTTGTTCTCTCTCATTCTTTTTACACACGTTTTCAAGATGCCGAAATATTAACTTAATTCTCTTAGCTAAGTTTAAAAGAAAAAGAAAAGGATAAGAAAGGCACCTGTCTCTCCAATTAAATTCCATCTGGCGTTTGATTGTCTTCCTTTTTTAAAAAATAAAATAAAACGAGACTCGTCTTACAAGATTTCATGTATCGTGTGTTGAAAAAAAATATTTATCATCTGCTTTAATTTGTGGACTATTGAACTCAACCAGCATCAAACAAAACAATTTTAATGCGACATTCCTAAATCTCGTCGGGTCAGACGAGTCATGTGACGAAAAACCAATGTAATGACTAATCAAAAAATAGAAAGAAAAAAAACACAAAATGCAATAAACGCATAACAAATATGTATAAGGGAGCTAAATAATAATTTGTAAATCAGACTAGACTTATCTAGCTAGACTCATACTACACCCATAAAACTATAAATAAACAATTTAAGTTGTATTTCTTCAATATTCTCATAATGACTTTATGCTAAATTGATACAATCAGTAAAAGACGAGAATGTGTCAAAAAAAATCCCAAATAGAAGATTCGAGACGCAGGATTTTCTTAATGTCCTTTTTACACCCTCAACTGACGTTTCTTATTCCGTCATTGTACGTACACACGACTCATAGATGTTGAGAAGAAAAAGAGATTCTTATTGTAGCCATATAAAAGTGTGTGGATGTAGAAGTTTTGTCGTGCAGTCATTGATTGTATATGTTTCTGTTATTCTTTTTTCTCTTATTTTTGTTCGGTATTTCCATTCATTGTGCTTCACATCATTATTTTTACATTTCAGTTTAAGTTCTGACGGCATTCGAGATGGACACATTATCGTCGTTGATGGAAGTTAAGTTGGATATTCGTGAAAGGCGAACAGAGTGGCTACCTTTAAGAGTAAGTTGATTATTGCTGCAATTAATTTTAAGTTCGATTTTAAGTAAAAAATTGTTTTCTTCTTTTGTTCAGTCGTGGACTCGTTGTTACATTAAAATCGAAGCAATCAAGTGTTTTCCCTGCTATATAAAAATAACTTTCCATAAAACTGTTAACGAGAATGACAATGGACTCGTCTTGAGAATCAACATTCCAGGCTTAGAAATATATCCGGTGAGTTTAACAAACATTAATTTTTTCATTTCCATTTGCGACTCTCTTCATTGCATTCCGTAAATTCTTAGCGCCGATTTAAATTATCGAATCATAACATAATAAGTTATTCATCTGAATAGACTATTATCAAGACGATGTTTCTCTTTTTATGTACCTGTTGAAACGAGCTCAGTTCATATCACTTTGATTGTATTTGATGTGATCTGTTGACAACAATTAAAATAACAACTGTCAATCTAAAGTTCAGACATTTCTTTTTCTTATTAAATTAATTTCCCTTATAATGAATTAATTTAATTTTCTTTTGACATGATTGTCACCATTTTGATAAAATTCATGCAATTTGTACTTCCCCACAAAATTTTGATATCATTCTCTCTATTTCTTGTTTTTGTTTTCAATGACGTCTATTGAAGATCTGGATGATGTGTACTTTATCTCACTTTGTTTCACATCTCAAGAGTCTATTTAAATTAAAAAAATTCATTTGAATAAAAGTATTATAAATACGTAAATTAGAACAATAAGTTCAAAAGTATTACTTAAACTAAGTAAATTTATTTAAAAACAATACGAAATCAATCAATTAACACTCAGAGATTTTCCGCAATAGGAAGTTAATTATTAACACAGTTTTCCAATCACGAAGCCAACAAACAACATCACAAATTGTTTTTTGTTATCACAACCACTGATTCACATAACAAAAATGATTCAACTAAATACAATGCACAAAAATAACTCGTCAAACAACAATACTTAATAATAGAAATATTTACACACAAGAAAAAAGTGTCGCAGCTATTTATAGACTTTTTTACGAGGGAGTAGAAATTCATTGAAACAATCAAAAATAACTTCTTCTGCTTAACTTTCTTTCATAATAATAAAAGATGATTTATTTTTGTGAATTGACGGTATGTCGTTGCGATTCGTAGAATTCTTCTTTTTTGTTTCAAATCCGACTGGTTGGTAAGTCATCCGGCTGACCGAACAACTAATCGTTTTGCTTCTATTTTTATTACGATGCTATAATATTTACAGTACACAAGAACCACAGCATATGCTCGTTTCAATAGCTACTTGGTATTGAAAATTATCATCATCCTTCTGTTTATAACGTGAATTTCATGTCGTCATTGCTTTAGAGTGATTGTTTACATTTTTTTCATATTGATTCTATTTTCATCCGTCGCATCTCATTCAACAGGTTAAATCGAGGACAAAGGAATATGCTTATGGCCTATATTGGAAACAAAACCGAAAGAATTGCATGGCATTCCTATCATTAGCATCAAAACTAAGCATGGAAGCTCACATGCGTTGGGTTGAATGTCAAATTCAAAGTCTGGAAACATATCGGCGAGGTAAGATTTTATTTTTGGACATTAGTTAAAGCACAATATTTTTTATTACTATTTCTACAAAGCGCACGTTGGTGGCGTCTAAACACAAGCTTCTTATTGTTAATTTTTTTCTTATATCGTGTACGCTCTTGTAAAAATATAATAAAAAAGCATGTGAATTTGCGTCATATTCAATTTACGTGTAAAAAGTCTAGAGTGTGGGAATGTGTTGGAGATAAGCAAAAACGTAAACATTTTTTTTATCTTTCGATATCTGTTTCTCTCTTTTTTTTTTCTTACGATGACTTCAAATCATATTCTGGATAAATGAAAATGTTTTGAGACTACTTATACATAGACGTCGATTACCAATTTGTTTTTTGATGATTTAATCAATAAGTGCAACATGTAATTATTCTCATTTCATTTTCATGTGAAAATTCATATTTTTATGAATAAATAAATAAAATTTGACACCGATTTTTTATGAAACATCTGGAATCTGTTGAGTCTGATAAGTTTATTATCTTCTCCTTCTCAAAAGTCCTAAAGAAATAATGTTTTAAAGAACTCCAACCTTATAAGAGACTTGAAATTTAATTGAATTACACATAAATATTTGTCAAAAGTGGCAGAGAACATAAAAAGATTTTGTGATTCGCCACTTAAATACGTGCGAAATGGAAATTTTCCATTACAAAACTTTCTTCTTCTTTTGAATAATTTATTCCTTGCATTTGTTTGTGTTTATCCAATCAATTACCATCTAATGTTTATATTTTCAACAAATTTCAAACTACATAAACATTTTCCTGTTTTTTCAATATAATTTACGCTTATCTTTTCTTGGAATAGAAATCTTGCAAAGCAGCCGGTGCAGTAGAATAGAACAAAGTCTATTTGAAACGGATGACTCTGGAATATATCAAAATATGAACGAGACATGTAAAGTGCGTGATGTGAATGACATTCTCGGTCCGTTGCCGAAAGTTCCAAATGGTCATCGTGACAGTGATAAGAATTGGTCGAGAAGAGTGTCAACAATGTCGGGAATTTATGAAGAGATTCCTGAGCCGACAGACAGGTATAAAAGGATGAAATTTTAATGATTTTTTTGGGCAGTCATTGCAGTTAATTGTATTTTAATTTAAGGCAAAGAAATAACAGAGACTCGGTTATTTACGAAGTCATGACATTAAATCGCCTCGAACAAAATTCATCCCCGCCTCCACTTCCACCTCGAGTTCGTAAAAACACTGACTGTTCAAGTCTCCAACGTTCCTACACAACACCAGAAAGTGAAATGGTCAAGAAGAAATGGAGTCTGTTCGAGAATGTGTTCGGTAAGTCAAAAAGATCGGAACTGAAACGAAGAGAAAGAAATGTCGCGCCACAACCAAGAGAACTTCAACTGCTGAAAGCGAAACGCAACAGCTTTTCAAGTCCCGATTTGTCACATCTTGATGTCAGCTTCAACAATTCTTTGTGTGCCAACTGTTCATTTGATCTGGAAAATCCTGCGAATATTAGTTCAAGTAACTCTTATGAGTTAGAAAATGTTTTTGAAGATGAAGCTGAGAATTCCGTCGATCAAGTTGATTCAAATATTTCCCACAATATCAAACCAAATTTCGAATTAAGATTGGATAAAAATGTATCGGCTGTTAATCTCGTTGGAAGTAATTGTTTATTGAATCATCACATTGAATCAACATCGCCAAAAAGTCAACCGGCATCGAGTCCGCCAGGTTATCTTGAAATGCGACCTGGACGTGGATTTGACATGAAAAAAGTTGAAGAACTTGATAAGCAACTTATGAATGATGTTCTCTATCGACTGAAATATTCTTTCGATAGTCCAATTACATATAAACGTGAATTTGATTACGACATTTTACCTCCAACATCGGCAACAATGACAATGACAACAGTAGAGAAGAATAAGAATGAAATTTATCAAAATAATCAAGAAAATGAACCACATTACGTTTGCATGACAAAGCGAGCTAACGAATTCAGTCCCAAAATACCTCCAAGAACACCAAAGATCGATGAACCGACTTATGTTCCAATGAACCGCGTTCCACCGACCGTTATCATCGAATCATATCAAAATGTCCGGAATAATCAGATTGAAAGTACAAAAACGAACAAGAGACTTTCAGTTGATGATAAAATCGCGTCTTATTATCCAAACTACGATGTTCCCGTTAAGTGTAACAACATCACTAATCTTCGAAATGCAACGGATGAAAACTCCATTGCAGCAAAGAAACAAACTCAAAATTCACCAAAAATTAAATCACCGGAATCGTCAATTCAGAATTCTCGTAAATTTACAACGCCAATTATGATTCCATCAACAAAAATGTCGGAACGTCGTGTTAATTCATTAAAATTGGAAGATAATAACAATAATAATGATTTAAGAAGTTTGCAAGTCAATAAAAAATATGCAACAATATCAAGACTTAACTCAGATGATCTCAGTCGCCGTCATAATCAAAATCTTTTATCATCGCCATCAGCTGTCGTTAAGAAATCTGGATCGATATCACCGACAAGTATTAAAAGATTTACGTCACTTCCGCGATTCAAAAAATTTGATTTCTCACCATTGCGACTTAAAATATCAAACGTATTACAAAGAAATAATTCTGGAGGATGTTAAATGGACATAAAAAGATCACTCACCACACATCATCATTACAAGCCAACCAGGGTACAAAGAAAAACGATTGTTCTTCATATCAATGAATTTGCTCATAATTTGATTCATATCATGACTTATCTAGCTCAATGAAGTGTCGAAAGTTTAAAGAAAGAATTTTAGTTTCATCTCTTGCGAATGAATGCCTCATACATATTGATAAAAAAGAAACATGAATACATATATCTACTTAAGTAGCCTAAATTGCCCTCTTGACTGAACGTACATCAGTCAACAAATTTGCTTCGATATGCCTTTTTGCCAACTTGTCGCTCAATTGAAAAATATAATTAAATGAGTTAGCATTTTCATATAAATAATTCAGCAACTAAGTTTTAAATCAAATGTTACGATTCTCATTTCTCTATCATTCTTTTTCTTTATATTTTTATTTATGTTTTATACTATGCTGTGATGTAAGAAAGAAAAATTAATGTTGCGCGATATATTCTCGAATTTGAAAGACTTCCAGTCGGATTTGTGATGTCTCCTTCAAGCGCGACTTCTTTGATTATCATTTAGACAGCCGAAATATTTTCTTTTAAGACTTTCAAGGATTACCTAACTTTTTTAAGAGACATCACAAATCAGTGCTTAATTTAATAATAATAATAATAATAATAACAATAAAAATATTAATAAGGAAGCGTTGCTTAAAATTTGTTGCTTATTTCATAAAGAAAAAATAATTAATATGTTGTACTTAGCGGTAAATTGAATATTTAAGACACAATTCCAAAATTATCTCATTAAATTTTTCCGAAAAGTTACAGAAAAGCGTGTAAAGAAATTGAAATTAGTTTGAAATTGGCTAACTAAGCGTCTGTTGTTGCCGGCTTTTCGAGTAATTTCATTTTCTAATTTGGCTTTAAACGCGAGCTTAATCTTTAAAGAAATTTCACATATCCACATTTTAACACAGAAATATTTCTATTCGTGCTGACGGCCACAAGTATTTACAATGTCAATGATTTTAACTAAATATTCGTAAAATCATGCTTAAGATAAGAAAAAATAAAAGAAAAAGTTTCAAAGAAATTGTTTGTTGCTTATTTTTAATTTATTTTTCAGATCAATCAATTGTAATTTCATTTAAATGATTGTGATAACAATTTAGATATTTATTTAACTTATGATCTTCAATATCTCACAAAAGAAATAAATCTACTTTCAACTTCTAAATCATCTATAACTTAAAAACAAATCTTTTAAATTAGATGCCTATTTAATTATTTTTCGTTCATTCATTACAAAAATAAAAAGAACTCATCAATCTGAAATAAAAATTGCTACTCTTGCTAATATAGATTAAGAAAAATAGTTTAATGGAAAGTTTTACGCTCTCCGAGCAGATAATCAATCAAGAATGAGAACATCTTAACAATGATTAACAATGCAAGTATGTAATGGATAATAAAATTCTTTTGCCTAACAGTTATCGAGAACCATTTACATAACAGAAAAATTTTTTTTAAACCGTTCAAATGTTATGCAATCTTCTGTCGCTATTTATTTCTCATTTTCTAATCGTCAACTTTATGCAAATATGTTTGATGAAGTGAATAATTATGTCGATTGCGGGACTTCGTCGCTTGTGCGTGGTTCTAACACGCGAGATTGATCTCAAAGTCTATTTTAGTGAAATGAATTTCTTAAGGCATCCAAAATCAACAATAACAAAATGAATAAAAATGCAATCCAAATAAAACAAAGACATAAAACAACAGGTGCATGACTTGATGATGCCTGCTGTCTCAATTCCAATACATAAACAACATGCTAAATGTAGATAATTATTGACCGCGCGAACAATAAAAACGCAAAAACCTTAAAGATTCACCAGAGAAAATGGAAAAGCAGATTAAACAAGACGAACATAACTCCAAGTGATTTTATTTAAGAACGATGGACATCAACCAACGGTCATACAACAACATCAGAGCACAAACCTTCATGCTTCACAGAACAACGAGAAAAAGAACGAAAACTTTCTTATGCCAGAAATTGTTCTTCTCAAAAGAAGGTGAAGTTGAAAAAAGAAAAACAGCAACAACACTACTTAACTCAAGAGCATCTTCATAAATTATGGAATGAAATGATCAGCAAGTAGTAAAACATCATCGTGTTGTAATATTAAGCAGTCCAACAACCGCGAATAAGAAATAATTTAGTTTGTAGTTTTATGTTTTCATTTCTTTGAAGTGTTCTTCTTGTGAAGCGGAGAAACGTGTAAATGTGTAAATGTTTTGTTTTGTTACTTAAATATCTTGAAACTTCCAAGACGTTGTTGCGGTTTGTTGAATGGAACTCAACATTTTTCGGTTAAAGATTTCTTGTATGTGTAAGTGTTCGATCGAGAAGACTTCATTGATGGATACTTAGTGGTCAAGTCAGGTGTAGAACATTTCAGATAATTTTTTAATATTGAATATAATTTAAATTTATGGACTTATTGTGCCTTTATTTCAAATAGAAATTTCTTAAATTATCTTTAACAACAAAAGATTTATTGGGGTCAACTTCAAAAGTTTCTCATTTTAAAAGATTTCATACATTCATCGACAGACAATTGATCCATTTAAGCTAATTTTATGAATCTATTTAATGCTCAAAGTATTTCACATTCAATCAAAATTTATTTTACTCTTTATTAATAAGAAAATGCAAATTCATGTGATGAAGTAAAAGTTTCACTTTCTAAACAATTAAACTTCATCTTTAAAATTGATTTGAAATACAATTGGCATTTCCTGGGGAGTTTGGCATCGACACCGCCGCATGAAATTGAATTATTTATAAGTATGAGAGCCGCAATGTTTCAAAGAAAGAATGTTTTTAATAAGAAAAATTCATATTTTTCTAAACAATGCGAATTAGTCTTTAGAAATCTGCTTCATCGGTCTTTTAATTTGCTGCTGCTTGTTCTTCGAACTCTGGGAATTGAAGTTATATTTTTAAGCCATTTGTTGTATTTGTGAAAGAAAAAAATGTTAAATGTTGCGCAACGTTTTCAATGTTTCAATCCAATTTCTTCACCGTTTGGTGTTTCTCCAATATTCTTTTTTTCTGCCGCTTTAGTTGTTCGTGAGTTGTTGAGGTGAAAGCATTGCGCCATCGTTCGTTTGATATTTCCAGTAGTGAAGAAAGAAGTTGAAAAAAAATAACGAAAGACCTTAATCCAAAAAAATTATTCACAAATTTTTATAGAATGAAAAAGAAGTTTAATTTTTTTATTGTGTGCCTCGGGTTCTTGTTTTAAAAAAGATTTCTCAAGGCAAAAGATGTAACAGTAGTGGCGCTTTTGATGGCTTGAGTTGAGACATCAGTCGAAAGAAGAAATCAAGAATGATTATGAAATTTTTGTTGAGCAAACAAGAATAAAAGTTGAGTGAAAATCAGTGAATCACAACTGTTTGCTTCTGGTTTATAATAAAGGAAATAAATAAAAATAGGAAATAAAAATAATTAAAAGCTACCAAAAAATCAAAGTTTCTAAAGTGAAAACTTAATAAAAATTACGATTGAGAAATAAATTGGTCAAATTAGCAATCAATTAGTCTGCTTTCGTTCAACATTTTTTTGGATTTAATAACCAATCATACGCTTTATGTAAGTAAGAAGACGAAGACGCACGACCTTATCTAATCAAAGCAAGAAATGTATTTGAACGCTGATCGCAAACATGAATCATTAGACACAATACAGAAATGTTATTTCAAATTATCCATATTATAGGCTAGGAGAATAGAAATTCCTATGAACATGGAGAGATCAGAAAGATCAATTCCTAAGATGAAATTACTTTACAAAGCCTAAAGAAAGGGAGAGAGACAGAAGAGAAAAAGTTGATAATTCGAGTAACGGGCGCATTTTTTTTTTATTTCAATAAACTTTGGTGCAATTTGAAGAAATTATAGGTCAATAACATGTTCACACCATGAGATTGAAGTTGAGACGATTCTCATCTTGCAATATGTTTCTTATTTCTGACTTTCGGTTTAAGAAATATTTTCGAATATCTAAGTAGATGAACTTCATTTTCATTCTATCTTTTGTATTCACAAAATTTCTTACACAAAAACCATTGAGTTAACTCGGCTTTTAACTTCAATACAAGTAAGTAAGTTGAATGCTTCTTTTTTTCACACAAATGGTTCAATTCAGGTCATGCATAGTTTAGTTTTTTTTTGGTGTTTAGTTACTCACTTTCATGTCTAACATAAAAATAGATTGATTCGTGAGTTGCAAAGAGCATTGCGATTGATTTTAGGTTGAAACATGACTTGCACCTGCGAAAAAATCAGGTTAATAAACTTTTTATTATCCTTTAATGTTGGCAACATGTCGATATGAAGAACATAAATATGATTTTAATCTTATCAAATTAATGTTTTTACTTAATTTAAACCGAGCATAAAATGACATGACATAACAATTTCCATTCTAAGGATCGATATAAATAATTTTCATTCAAACATTCATTGAGACTCATGCTCGAACATATCAAATTAATATAAATAATTCAAATGTCTATCAGCAGTGACCTATCGGAATAAATGAAAACGATATCACATTACCTTAATGCTTTCTTTTTATAGTTTTTCGTTTCAATGTTACAATCCTTAATATTTATGAAGGTCACATTGCTAATGAGGATTGACCGAGAATATCAAAATAAGTGAAATATTTATAAGTTAAAGCATTAAACCGAGCGTCATTTCAGAAAGAGACCAAACCAGCTTTCGTCTCAATCAAACAGAAGCACGGAGGAAATATATAATTAAAAATAAATAGACAATGGAACGTGATTCGCGGTTCATTAAATTGAATAAATAAAATCCGTTGCTAAAGACACGGAAAGTGCCCGAAAAGAAATAAAAGAGAAAAAAAAATCTAAACGCGTTAATAGAAAAATTGTTCGTCATGTCATCGCTAAAACAAAATGTTTGGTTTAACGATTCTCTTTGTTTGTTGTTTCTAAACTTTTTATCTTTTGTTCTGATGATATTTCAAATTTATTTTGTAAAAGCTCTGTGAACAAATTCAAAGGTTGTGATTAAAGATCGAGTTAAAGCTTTTAATGACTTTTTTATAATATTTGCATGATATATTTATGCATATCGTTGACGAAACATGGCATGATCGTAAGTAGGCTCTTCAAAAGATTTCCGTCGGGTAACTAATAGCTCAATTTGGACGAGAGAAAATGAAAATAAAGACTCGATGGAATCATTATTTATTGAGTTGAAGCAAGAAAAGTAACTGTTACTTTTGTTTAAGCATACATAATTGAATAAAACAATATTTTTATGACTTTCTTCCTCGCTACGCTATGAAACTGATCTTTGAGAGGCGAAAAATATTTACGGCTTCAATTGTTTAGGTTACTGAAGAAGAATCTTCCAACGAAGAAAAGTGCTTTAACGTTTAGCAAAATGATGAAGATGATTAAATGAATGTAAAGCTTACACCTTAGACCATCAACCTTAATTTAGAAATTTGAAATTTAAAGATGGTTCATTTAAAGATGGTCCATTTAAAGATCATTTAAAAGCTTTTCTCTAACTTTTTGAAGACATGAAAATGACAAAATCTAATTTACAAAATGATTGCACTTTCTCATGTTATTAAATTTAGCAAAATTGCAATTTAAGTCTTTTTTGTAATTGCCCACATTAAAATGAAATAGAAACTGGCATTCAACGAGTGTTCGTGAAACTTTCATATCGACACGGAATTCACTCGACTTGAGAAATGGTTTGCATTACTTTGATACATTCAGCTCTCTTTCAATCTTGGTTTAAATTGAGGCTAATAATTAAGTGAACAATTTTACTCGCTTTTCACTACACAGACAACAAAGTTATGATAAACATCTTGTTGTCATATATCAAAGTCATCTTATAAGTTGCAAGGTGCTGTAAAAATCTGCTAAGCGGAAAGTTTTTATGTCGCATATTTTTTACTTAATTAACTTCCATGACTCATCTGCCATTTTTATCATAATCGAAAAGTGCAATCAAAACCTCAGGAATTTTGAAAGTAACATTCTTGAAAATTAAAAACCTCTCATTATCCACAGAAAGCTTTTATTATGATTCCAGTTAATATAAGAAATTCTTATGAGAAATCTTTGTAAAAAGATAAAACTTTTATCGTAAAAGAGTCGAAAAAGTCTTAAAATTTAAGAAATAACGACGAAAAATATAATTGAAGTCATCTTATTCTTAAGACAATAAAGTCTTCGATTTATAAAAGCTTTCAAAAATTGTTTTTGTGACATCTTAATTCTGACGGTTGTTGAGTGCTTCTGGGAAATGAAATATTTTAATATCATTAAACACGAGTTACAAATAAATGTGTCGAAATATTTAAAATAAAGTCAAATAAATATATTTGAAAGATTCAAGCTTATTGAAATTATTCTGATGTCTGTTGACAAAGATGTTACATCATCGACATGCATCATAAAATTAAGAGTCATCATAAATAAATTAATACTCATATACAGCTACTAATAATATCATACGATTGGACTAATTATACTTACGAGTTGTTATGCGATCTCATTCCGCAGGAAAATAACTAGAAAGATATTTATATGCATCATGAGAAAAGAAATAAGAAAGATTCAATGTGGATAAAAGCAAGAATTGAAATAATTTAAATCACTGATTGAACTTTTACTTTGTTTACTTTAAGTTTATTAACCTTCTCAAAGGAGTGTTTTAACAAACAAACCAATTAAACAAAAACTACAAACACTTCTTCCAGATATTATTTAATAGTAACTTAATAATAGATTTGCCTTTAGTTTCACTTGATTCTTACATAAATAAAGAAATGAGCGTAAATAGAACCGGTACAGATTGCATTTCCATTTCGCCCGTCTCCAATCTGGTTATCGAATACCTTAAAGGCTTCCAATGTTATTGTGCCGTTTCCATCGTTGACCTAGTAAAAGAATCTGATTTCTTACACACCTCTTCCCTTATTTTTGAAAGTTTTTAACAGTTTTTCATGATAAACTGAAGATGACTTTTTGTTTAATCGACATTTTTAAGGCAAAGTTATTTGATTTCATAGCTAACTGTCTCTTTCCCTCTTAAAACCTCCGTTATTATATTGAATTCACACCCAATATTTTGAGTTTTTATAGTGGTAGATTAAAGAATGTCTCGACATTAACAGTTGCAGTAACTCTCATTTGACGATAGCCCGTAATTTAATTCTCAGATATTTTACTTGCAATTTAAGAGAAAAATTTACAATCATAAAATTGATCAACTTTTTGTCTTCAACAATGTCAGTGTTCAGTCAAATTCTAATTAATATTTAACATTCAACTTTGAAAATTGTTTTTTCGCTTTTTTATGAGAGGCACAGACATGACGGGTGCGCTTTTGATATTTAATAATACACTTGACTGTGTAAGAAACTTTTTCGCTGCTTCATATTAATTACATTTTTCTCTGCCAATGTGAATACATATCTTTCTTCTTTACTAATCATCCGCTATTGAACTTGGTGCCATTAACTTATAAAATGAATGGTTATTTCATGTTTTAACGTCTACAGTTTCTGTTCGGTTGCTTTCTTTTTCTCGAATCCAAATTAATTGATTGAGAAATCAGAGTGTTCGAATAAGAAAAGAAATGAAATGACGGAAAGAATAAAGTGGAAGATAGTAAGAGGAATTAAATATTTAAAACGGCAGAATGCAAAATCAGACAAATCCGATCTTGATACTTAAACATGGAGTTGCGTAATGACTTTCTATTCGATCGTCTTAGATATTCATTAAATAATTTCTTCACATTCTCAACGATCATAGAATAAAATTATGTAACAAAGTTACACGCTAATCGAATTTCTTTTCGATTTCTTCTCGCCTTTAGGTTCCGCTTGGCTAACCTGCTGTTGCTTTTTTGAATCTATCAAACACGATGATCAAACTTATGAATAAATCGACGAGATAAACTCAACAAACTCAGATTAGTGGAACGTGATAAAAAACAACAAGAAACTTAAATAATGATTATGAGAGAAGAAGAGTTGGAAATTGCCATAAAAGTTGTCATAGTGAGTTCATTTATATTAATTTCTCTTGGTCCAATAAAATGCAAAACACAATTATCACCTTTCAGGTGGGAAATGGCGGTGTGGGGAAAAGCAGCATGATACAAAGATATTGCAAAGGAATCTACACAAGGGACTATAAAAAGACAATTGGCGTTGATTTCCTAGAACGAATGATAGAGTTTGTTTGATAATATTTTATTGTCTAAACGATTTCACATTTTGATTATTGAATATTTCAGTATCGACGGAGAAGATGTTCGTGTTATGCTATGGGATACTGCTGGACAGGAAGAATTCGACGCAATAACCAAAGCATATTATCGAGGAGCTCAAGCTTGTGTGTTAACATTTAGTACAACTGATCGCTGTTCATTTGAAGCAGTCAAAGATTGGAAAAAGAAAGTTGAGAACGAGTGTGGTGAAATTCCAACAGTTTTAGTCCAAAATAAAATTGACTTAATGGATCAAGCTATGGTTACATTGTAAGGAGATGAAAATGATTAATTATCTCTATTTCATAAATTATCTTTCATTAAAATAGTGAAGAATCTGAAGCCTTAGCCAAAAGCCTTGGAGTTCGTTTGTTTCGTACGTCTGTGAAGGAAGACTTGAATGTGGCGGGAGTTTTCCGATATTTAGCAACTAATTGTCATGAAATGATTAAAGAACAATACAATACCGTATTACCTTTAAGTACCCCTACCATAAGTCAGTTTAGTCCGACATTTCATTCAAAATCTAATGGAACAATTATCTTAACAAGACCTTTGAAAAAGTCATCGAAAAAGAAAAACATGTTGAAGAAATGTGGAATGATTTAAGTTGATAATTTAATAAAGAGAAAGTAAGTTAATAAAGGATACATCTAAGCATCGTTGTTATTATTTATGAAAGCTGTTTTCAAATGACTTTTCTCTACTCTCAAATGTCACATCACATCTTACATACTTATCCACTTACAAAGTTGTTAAAACTTTTCTTAATTTATGGAGAAAAAGTTTATTATTAGCAAGATAAATGAAACATTCCAAAGTGTCATATTGAATTTCTCAAAATAATCTTTTTCAGTCAAACACAAATGGGCAATTTTGTATTTAAACCTGTTAAGAGAATACTTCAAGAAAAGCTTTTTTTGCTTGTGTTTAAATTTATAAATAAATAAATTATTAGTATCTAAGTGATTTTCTTTTGTTAATTTGATGGAATTCAAAATGAAGAAGATAGAAAGAAAGATGGAAAAATGTTTATCTAAGTATGATGGCTAAATGAAAACTTAAAAGATTTCTTTTCTAAACATGAAGCCAAATTGTTCACATTTGTAACGAAGAGTTTTAGCTAATTGTGGTGGACCGCAGTAGAAGACTGTAACTTTTCCTTTCTTTTGATCTTGTATCTTCTTAAATACTTTGTCCCAGTTTGGTCGACCCGCAGTCGTGCGCGTTTTGAGTCCAGTAATTAAGTCGCGCTTTTCTTTTTCATGCAATAAATCCAAAGCCAGTTGTAGACTGACTGCTTTCATGTCAGTTCTCTGTAGAGCTGATGTTATGTACATATGCTTAATTAAAGATTCAAATGATTATGCATGATTTATGACTGTAATATTTAATGAACAAATTTTTCAAATTCATTACCATATCCAAGAATCGCTCCATGGCGCTGCCCATTTCTGCTTGTTCGATTTCTAATTGCGATAGCAAATTAACAAACCACTCAAATGACCGTTGATCACGATTTATCCAGAAAAAGTCAACTTTACGTAAGTTCATGACAGCTGGTGGAATATTTGATGTCCATTTGTAATCACATCTTGGACAGACATGACGAGCTAGAAATATAAATTGTGTAAAATATTTAATTACACTCTGTTAATGACTTTCCTCACCCTTCCAATATCTGTGCATGATTGATTGGAGAATCGAAGCAAAAGGAGTCACTCCAATCCCTGTTCCAATTAAAACAGCATGTTGTGCTCTAAAGATATGACTTGAAGGAGCTCCATAGGGACCATCAATGAAGATCTTCAATGAGAGAGAGAGTGATTGAAATATATAAAGAAAGAAAAAAGAAAAAAAAATTCACCTCAAGAGGTTTTCCCACAGGAAAATTCATCGCTGGTTCAACATTTCCTTCCTCAGCTTCTTTTGATTCATCTGAAGTTTCTTCCTTAACGTCTTCTGAGGATTAACATAAAAATAAAAACATTTTCTTTCACCCTTTTTAATATCAAACCTCACCTTCTTCAATATTTTTCAGAGGCATGTTATTCTCATATGACTCAAGGCTGGGAGTTTTGAATGCAATGATTGTTGGTTTGTTTCTCATATACCGGAAGCTTTGTGCAATTCCTTTGTTTTGTGGACTGTTATATGCAAGATTTAAACTTTTCATAATTGCCATATTCATTGTTCTATTGTCGAATGATTTTGTTGATTCCGATCGCGCATTATCTCGTAATCTATTAATATGCAATATTTAAATCAGTCAAAAAGTTTTCACTAACTTCATCACCATTAATTACATTCTCATCTTTTCGCTATATTTTAATTTATGTTCAATATCGGGCATTGACATCGCTTTCTTCCTTGCTGGAATGTTCATCATTTCTTCTTCTTGTATCGCTAGAATCATGTTGTGCTTCAACATCGTAGGTGGTTCAGATTTCTCATCAATTTTATTTATTTCTGTTGTCATAGCATGAGCTTCAATGCCAGCTTTCTTCGCTTCTTCTTCTGCTTCATGTTCCATTTGTGCTTCATAAGCTGGCACTTCTCCATCATGTAAACGTTTCTGTTCCTTCTCAAAGAAGTCCAAGAGACGATTTGTCCACTCACCGACAGCACGGATATGCAACCCGATATGATCTGAACACGTTCATGCATTATTCAAATATTAATAAAGAAAGAAAAAATTGATCTCACCTTCATCTTCTGGAGCACTACTTAAAGTAAACGGATGCCATTCATATTTTGCAATTTTCGGAATATTAATGAAAACATAATCCCCGGGTCTAAAGCAAAAATGAAATGGTCGTTTGATAACTAAATGGATGACTTTTGATGGCAATAAAATTCCCGATGACACATAAGACTTTCCACGATTTGATCTCATCCAAACAAATCTTAGAATTCGTTCAATAGCAAAGATAAGGCCAGGAAGAATGAACCATTTCCAAAAGTTTGGCCCATGAATAGTTACCAGAACCCAAAATGGAACGTAAAGCAAATGCGTCCAATAAAATACTTCAAAACTGCCACCACGACGAACAAATGGAAGAGAACAAATGAACATAATCATAAGAATAATTATAAGAAGAAACCCAGTAGGATTAGCCCATCCACTAATAAGTCCAAAGAGACCCGGTCTAGGCGTGAAATAGAATTCAGCAACGGTGAAATTGTTAGCATTAATTATAGGATCGTTGACAACAAAGAATGCTAGAAAATAGAATTAATGAACACGAATGTTTATTCAAAAGAGATTTTCTTACCGAAATTAATGATATGCATGAATGTATGCCAAATTCCAAAGAACACAATCAGCCATCCAGTCATTTTATGTAAGTAAATATGTTCATCTAGCGGCAGAATAGCACAAAGTCCTCTGGTTCTCAAGAATGTCAAACTTTGACGCAACATCAAAACAAGCACAAAAGCACAATTAAAGTTGAGACATTGTCCTTGACACATAAAGATAAAGTAGATTAAAATTCGAATATTAAAATCTCTAATTAGGATACTCTTAAAATTATTTTTGAATTGATAAAAAGCCTTGAAGAAATTTGCGCAGATATTTTAATAGAAAAAACTCATAAAACAATACTACAAAACGTGTTTGGTATTAAACTCTTACTTAAGCATTCAATTAACTTACCACAAGCTCTTGCAAAGATCACCAAGAAATTACTTTTTCTGTATTGAATTGCTCTTGAGATGAATAAAATCAAATTAATGAGCATGAAGATCGCTACGAAAATTAAGTATATTGAATTATTTTTAATGTAAGGTGTTGACAATTGATGTGGCAATCGGTGAGTACTGTGATCATGAACACTTTGGATTTCCTGTTGCATTGGTACAAGCCATCGGTCAATACTTGCAAAAATATTTGTAAATCCTTAAAACTTCTTCATTTAAAAATAGAATTAAATATTTCATACCTGATACTTAAATTTTCTAATAATCCTCCATGTTTAGTCAGTTGGTTGGTTAATGCTTCGTAAGTGATTGCTTATAGTAGAATAAAAAAATCGTTTTCAATATGAATTTAATAAAATTATTTATAAATATTTACCTCCCCGTTGATCTGGATCTGCGTCATCAAACATAGCTCTGGTAAGATCATCAATCTGAAGTGCACAAAAGAAATCATTAATTAAATATGACCGACAAATTTAATATCAAATTCAAACCTGAGTATCTGAAAACTTCATTCCATTTTCATGCATGCAAGCTCGCATAACATGTTGGAGTTCTTCATGTTGAATTAAGCCATCGCCATCAAGATCATAAACTTTAAACAGAAATTTTATTTTATTTTCAGAAGATTCTCCCGAAAACTGATGCATTGCATCAATAAACTCTTGTAATGAAATCGTTCCAGAATTATCCTTGTCGAATATTTGAAAAACACGCTCATTGAAGAAAGGCTTAAATCAATGTAAATTTGAGAATTATTGATTATTATATTTTTAATATTTCTTAATTAATCATACATTTTTGGAGATGACAATTTTTTTAAAATCTTCACGTTTGATTTCTTTTCCGTCGCCGACAGTTTTCTTAAAGAGTTGTTCTAATCTTTCGAGGGAAGTCTTATCAAAACCGCTCTTGGTTCTCGTGTTTGTCATATTGGAAATGCATTCAATTATTTGTGTCGTTGATATAACGTTAGTGCCTTCTCCATCTGAAAAAATATTGTTTATCATATATGGAATAACTAATACAACGAGCGAGACGTGATACCTAGAAGCCGGTAGAATTTGTCAATTATCTGTAATTAATTCGTTAAAAATAAAGTAAATAAAATGAAAATAAATTAAAATTTTTGTCACTTACTCCCTTGGCATTCCATATTTGCACAAACGAATCAAACGTTACAGTATTCTCCCCACAAATCACGTAAGCAACAGATTCCAATTGCTCAGCAAAATCCATTTGGCGTTCATCACTTCAATTAAAAGTACATTTTATGACTCGTATTATGACGAATGATAACAATATCTTACGTAAACCTTCCTTTTATGTTCTCAATCCATTGATCTTGTTTCAAGCTTTCATTAGCATCAACATCGAACAGTTTAAAAATGTAATAGAGAGTTTCCTAGTTGAAAGTAAGAAAACAGAAAATTAATCGTTGTGCAAGTAAATAATGTGCATCAGCATGTTTTAATCTTATCTAAAAATTATCTCTACTTTTACTTTAGAAAACGTTTTTTATGCAAATTCAACCAGAGGCAGATTATCTATTTATTACCTAGTTAAAATTATGAAAACAAACTACGAGTTTCAGAAACGATGGTGGAAAACACTTTTTATATTATTTTCTAATAAGATCTTATTAACATGATTGTGGAGGTCTCAGCTTTTTGGTATAAAATTCTGATCGATAATAAAATTCAATGACCAATGAAAGTTGGAAACAGACATTTAAAGAGTGAAGTTTAATTTAATTTATTCTGCAGGGATACATCAATTTGAATTGCTTATCCATCTCTAACTCTGAATACAGTATCAATCAAATAAATACTTTAGATTAAGAGTAAGGTTTATTGACGACCGCATTTAAGCTAACATCGAATATCTAAAAGCACAAATTAAATAAATGAATATTTCAGTCTTATTTCAATTCTCTTAGCTAATAAAACTTTGTTCAGATAATATTAAGTAATTAATTAAAACGCCAATTTAAAATAAATTTGATAATCTCTTCACCATCACATCATTCATGGAATCGAGTTCTAATAAAAGGTCTTGTGCAAAAAAAGCTAAAACATCACGATGGTTTCTGTCGATAATGATCAGAAACCAGAATTTAATATTCATTTTGTATATTTATGTAGAAGGGCTTGACATCAAGTTCGACGTTGTTATTTACGACTTTACAAGCGGTCCATGCCTTCTTCCATTAATGCATAAGTTCAAATATCCACCTGTCGTTAGTGTTACAGCATTTAGCAAGCAACATATACAAGGCACGTGATTGAGGGTCACCCTGCTTATGTGCCAAAATATGCAACAAAATTCCCATAACTGATGAGCTTCTCACAACGGTTTATCAACACAATTCTGTTGCTTTTGTGATGCAATGCAAAGTTTGATGCTTTTTTAAGTATATTTAGTTTCCATAAACCTTAACATCTTTAACAAAATGATTTATTGCTCGTCTCTTTTTCATCATATACAGTGAACATCAGTTTATATTGCTTCCACAAATGGAGAAAAAACTTAGAAAAAGATTTTCCTTCACATGATGAATAGTAAAAGAAAACGAAATTAAGTCTTGTTAGCACTGATGATGCATTTGATTTTCTTTCCTTTGCAGCCAAATATTATACAAGTAGGAGGCTTACAAATCACTCCTCCAAAGTAACTATCAGATGCAAACGCAGCTTTGATTGATATTTTAACATTTTCTTTTCACTTTCAGATTTTCATTTAATTCATAGAAAGTTCAAAGAAAGGAACGATTCTTATGTCTCATGAGCCATGAGCCATGACATAAAGCCATGAGATAAAATAAAACATGTTGGGTACTGAAATTTTGACCAACACTATAAAAACATTTGCACAATTGTCGCAATACAATTTCATAGATATGGAAATTCTAATCAGAGGTGTATGACCTGGGAATTTAAATCACAGAAAATGTTGTGATAGCCAAAGTTTTGCTTCAAAATGTTATTTTAATATCTACATCCAAAAATCAAAGCATTTATTACGCGTTCTAGTCTTTTGAGCACCCAAGAATCTTTATGATATGGAAAACCAATGATTGCAATTCCATTTCTTTGCGATCACGTTCGTTCAGCAAGTAAAGCAGTTCGTAATGGTGCAGCAGTTCTCATTGATTTTAAAACATCATACGTTGAGAATTTTAAAGAAAGAATTTTGTCAGTCTTAGAAAGTTCTATGTATGAATTAAATGCTAAACAAATTTCTAAATTATTCCAAGTTAGACCTCAAAAACCACGTGCGGTTGCTTTATGGGGGATCGATTATGTCATAAGAAGTTCATCAGCATGCTGCAGCACCACAATTTACGTCATCAACGTTTAAATTAGGAGTTTAACTTCTGACTCTTACGATGTGATGTGATCCTTGTACTTGTAATACCGACTCACATAATATTTTATTTGATTTTCAAGCTTTTAAAACGTTCAATTCGTCGTTTAATTTATCGTTTCACAAAAACCGAAAGTAAGAAACTTAAACGCAACTAAGAACCTTAGATTGCAACTTTATGTGACATTGAATAAAATTCCATAAAACGCAGCTTAATACAACTCAACGCAATCGACGTTTATTCCATTTGACTTTGAATTGTGCATTTGCTGTTGTTTTTCTTAATTTGGCACCTTAATTCAGATTTTTGTTTTAATAAATGAACATTTCTCTCCAAGCAAATGAAATTAACCAATTTTTAATGAAAAATTACAAAATATGTAATTAATTGTTAAGGCTAATTAATTGCAATGAAGTCATTATTGCATTTGTATCATTTACGCAGGCATTTAAATAAATGTATTCGAATCATTTCAATGGGAGTGGAAAACAAACTTATATAAAAAAACTTATTAAACTTCCCGGAACTTACTCTACTTCCAAATGTTTTCATAAATCCTTCTCTTGTATGTTTGTCTTCACCAAATATTGCCCCTAATTCCGACATATAAAGCCATCGAAGCTTATCACGTTTCACTTCAATTTCCATGAAACTTTTATTCACTTTTGCCATATTTTCACTTTCATCTGACGGTAAGTTATCAGATATCAATGATTTCCTACCAATCATTGTCTTTTTTTCAGGAAGATTGGATTCGACCACAGTTGAATCATTTTCACTTTCATCGATGGTATTATCGAAAAAAGATAAATTTCCTTCTTTTTCTTTATCACTCGCTTGAATTAAATTCTCTTCACTTGCGCCTAAACTTTTAGACATTTTTTAATTCACTCGGTTCCTTGATAACAGAACATTAAACTTTATTCACTATAGACCCCTAAAAAATATTTGGGAAATTTAAGAGAGCACCAAAAGTGGTTAGCGAACAGTAATCGAGCTCAACATAAACTGAATTTTACTTTTCAATTAAACCGCCCGAGCACCACTGATCATCGAATCCATGTGTTAGCATCTAAGCTTATGTTATTTTTTGTCTCTATTTAACATTCAATACCGTTCCACTTTAGTTTTTGCTCAATGAAAGGTTAAACTGTTACATTACTGAGCGAATGTCACGTGTTTCATCCTTTCATATTTTCTGTTTCATTCAGTCACTCGCTTAATCTCTCCCAATAAGCTTGATTTTCTAAATGTTGTGTTTGCTTATTGCTTAGTGTGTCTATGTTTTTTTTTGTTTCATTTAATAACGATAAATTAGGAACATAGGAAGTTTTATGATGATCATGTTAAAGCTGTTAAAATTAATGTTTTCCTTTTTTTAATTTATTTATTAAAATAAACGAATAAAATTAATTTGATTATCTGATGAAAGTAATCGAAATCAAGGAGATTTTCTTTATTCAATTGACTAAATCTTTCTTAATAATGATATCATTATTTGAAGACCAAAAAGTGAATACAAGTGAAGATAGAAAATATTTCAATGTGAAGTTCATTGCAATGCGAGAAATTTTTCGTCACCTGTAGACATTAAATAATATCTCGAAACTGAAAACAGGTTTATTCTTTACAACAGTTTCATAATTGCTTGAATTTGTCTTAATCACAGCTAAACACAAATTGCAAATTGCGTGGTTGCGGTTGGTGTTAACACACATGATGTTTCATGTGTTTTGTACCATTTTATGATGTTGTACATCAATGTCATCGCTGTTGAGTTGTCTATGATCACTTGCAACATATCGCAGATATCTAAACCGTTGTAAAAGGAAGGAATAATTAATATATTTACAAGCTTAAATTTATTTGTAATTCGCTTAATATCACTTCAATCGCATAATCTTTTGCATTTGTCTCTTGATATTTGCTTTCACATCTCTAAACACTGATAAATGTGTGTCAAGTTTAATATAAATGAATTTAAATTGGCTTACAATGGACGAGGAAAAAATTGATACGTTGCTGACAGTCACAGTTTACTGATCTATCTTTATGTATCAATCAATAAATTGAGCAAATATTTTGGCCGCCCGTCGTACTTGTTGAAAAGTCGTTGATTGTTTCTTTTTTTTTGCATATAGCCAAAATATCAATTACGCGGATTAACTTTGATTATAGTGCTGATTTTTTATTATTATTATTTCTAGCTTAATGATTGTTTTTTACAAACCTACATGTTTAGGATTAGATAGAATATGATGAATATTAGGAAAAAAGTTTTGTAATTGATAAATTATGATAATTCACTAATGAGATGTTTGCAAAGTCTTGATGAATTGTTGTAAAACGCATAATAAAATATTTTATGATTAAAGAGTTAGAGATTCTGCTTCAGATTTCTTTATCAGATAGTGTTGGTATAAACCCAACAGTGTTGGTATAAACCCGACAGTGTTCGATCTTGACGAGCGACACTCATCAAATGTCCCAAAAATTCTTTGTTCTCAATAATCGAATTCTCACGTTGGTTGTTCGAGTCCATTCTTGTAAAGTTGACGAGTTGAAATAATTGTTGGATGATGGTCTACCATTCAATAACCGAACGATAATCTATACAAATGAAATGTTAAATTTACTTCTCCTAACTCCAATGAAACAATTTTACTGAATTCTGTTGTACAAATAACGTCATCGTCTCTTCTTACCATAAACCAGGTCTTGGAGAATATCCCATACGAACAGATAAGCGACGTGGAATTCCTTATGATTAGAAAATAAAAACAAAATTAGCCTACTATGTTGATTTCAGGATTTTTAGTTTTCACAGTTTTCATAATTTTCACAAATATTTTTTAAATCGCAGTAAGCATGAAAATGATTTTTAAGGAAAATTTCATTCTGATTTGAAAAATCAAGCTAGAAAGGTGAAAAAACTTTGTGATTAAAGAATTATAATTGAAGTGATTGTTTATTTGTAGAAACAAGCAGGAGAAAGCAGAAATGAAAACGAAAGCGTTGGTTTTTGGATTGTTGGCATGTTCTGGGGTTGGTTTAGCAGGCTATCAACTCTACAAAACTTATTTGAAAACGATGGAAAAGGATGAAGTTGAAGATCAAAAAGAACGAACTGAAAAGGAAGAAGACGAATACATCGAAGATAACGATTATCAACCAGGCGAGTTCGAGAGAATAATGAACGAATGGGAGGTTGATAATGAACCATTCTGGAAACGGAGATCATTTCCAAGCAATGGATTTGATTTGGACTTATGGCAACCCATTGCTGAAGAGGACGAGGAGAATTATGAAGAAGACGAATCTGAGGAAGACGAAACTTATGAAACTTGCGAGGAATCTGAAGAGGAATCTTATGAAACTTGTCAGGAATATGAAAACGAAGGAGATTTGTAAGTATGATTGATTAATTAATTATTCTTTTTGTTTTTTTTGTAGGATAAAGGATTGGGTTGGGAGGAGGGGGTGGAG